GAAACAAAACATGCTATCAGGCATAAGAATCTTCTTTCCACTGATAAGCCAAATTATATACCTATGTCCAGAAAAATGTAACATACAGTGTTACCGGGGTATGGAATAAATTGCCTAGTCCCTTTATATTGTTATCAAAAAAACGCTATAAAATTGAGATTGAAACAATTTCTAAAAAGATCTTACTACAGTATGGCAGAGTTTTTTGATGCAATAAATCTAGATTTGTAATGTTTTACTAAGGTTCTGTCTATTGGACGTATTGTTTTTATTGTCTATGATTTATGATACTGTGATATGATCTACACCCTATGAATATTATGTATATAATTTTAAAGATCAAATAAGGAGTATTATTACACTGATAGTTCGAATTACTAACATTGAGTAGACCCACCTATTTTACCTAATTTTGGGCTGCTGATTTCAAAAATGCCACTCGTTTTGCTCCAGGACGTCTAGGATCCGAAATAATTGGGTAATAAAATGCTCTGCCCAATTATCTCGAAATGTAAGTTTTTCGTTAATATTTTGATTATTTATTAAATTATTTTGCCTTAAATCTATTTTGTATTTCAGTATATTTTCGGCGATTTTTGTCAAAAATATACAGGGACTCCATACAAAGTCATGGGAAGATAAATGTCAAATAGAACAATTTTTGCTTCATTGTAGCAGTATACAATAGCAGTATTATATAAGGGATATTTAATAAAGCACTTTCCTGCATTTTTTGAAATTTTTGTGTCGTTTTTTTAATTACCAATTAAATTGAAAAGACAAGTAAATGGGTTTCGGTATAAACTTTACTCTTTGACTATTATTTGATATATTAATATTCACATCATGCTTAAAGTACCCAAAAATTCAATCTCCAATCTTATTTATTAAGTCTTATCAAAATATCGAATTGAAGTATCTACTTTATCGTTCAAGCACATTTAAGTGCATCATCTATTAATTTTTGACATTTAAAATTTAAACTTTAACATTTAATTTAAATGGACCTGATATACGACGAAAAATCAGGCATTCAAAAATGCTCTCAAAGTTGACGAGTTTGTCGCATATGGCAGTGTTAAAGCTGTCATTAAAAATGTTCTTGGTTCATATTGGGCCTAAAATTGGGCAATTCATTGAAAAAATGCTCTCCGTTTTGTAATGAATTAGAGTTAATGTCATTTAAAACACTTTTTTTTTCATCCTGATAAATTTGTCGAACTGATGAACATGGAGAACGATTTCACCACGTAACTTCAAATTTAGAGCATTGGTAGATATCTATGGGTATAGCGGAAAGAAGTTGGATTCATTGCTAGGAGACATTTGCTGGAATTTTCAGCAAAAGATGTACGACGATGATGAGGATTAAGCACAATAATACTATAATTCAATTCGATATTTGATACGATTTAATAAATTTATGGTAGAAAAAAGCAAAATTATGCAATGCATTACATTTTGTGGGCTTAATTTGAATAAGAAATATCGAAACTTGTTTACTTTGTTGGCCTTTTAATTAAAATAAACGACAACATCGTCAAATAATGGATTTTTTTTACATAAAATACTTTAAAAATTTAGTTTTAGTATTTAAAATGTCATATTGTTAAAATAAATATGATCTATTTGCCGTATACCAATTACTTCAGTACATTCAAGATAAATTTAAGCCAAAATAATGTAATAAATAATTAAAATACCAACAAAAAACTTACATTTTTTGGTGATTGAGCACACATTTTATTACAAAATTATTTTAAATCCTAGACGTCCTAGAGAAAAACGAATGAAGTTTTTGAAATCAGCGGCCCAAAATTAGTTAAACTAAGCTGGAGTACTCAATGTTAGGAAAAAAAAGTTTCTAAAACTATCATATTTTTATTAATTATTATGGTAAATACATAAATTGTCCTCCTTTGGGGGGGGATGATAGTACACCCCAAAACAAGAAAGTTTTTCCTCTATCATTTTTGCATTAAAGTTACTATTTTTTAATAAAAAAATCATGAAATTTTTTTGACAAAGCCAGGGAGCCACTGGATGTCACTGACCTATCCTATTTATCATCATTGTCTCTAATTCATTCTGAGAGAGCGAACATTTTCCTTGCTCGCAGGGAAAGTTCGAGTACAACGGCAACTGCGGCTACCTGCTGAAGCCGGACTTCATGCGCAGGCACGACCGCACGTTCGACCCGTTCGCCGAGTGCCCGGTAGATGGCGTCATCGCGGCCCAGTGCTCGGTGCAGATCATCGCCGGTCAGTTTTTGTCGGACAAGAAGGTGGGCACGTACGTCGAGGTCGACATGTACGGGCTGCCGACCGACACCATCAGGAAGGAGTTCAGGACGCGCCTGGTGCCGGCCAACGGCCTCAATCCCGTCTACAACGAGGAGCCGTTCCTGTTCAGGAAGGTCGTGCTGCCGGATTTGGCCGTGCTGCGCTTCGGCGTCTACGACGAAAGCAGTAAGTTTGGCATTTTTAATGTTTGTGCTAGCGTGAAATTGTACTAACTAAGATCAAATTGTAGCTTATAGTACGTCAGCATCTCTTTGGCAATTCAAAATTGCCTTCAATTGGAAAAAAAATAATAAATCGAATCTCGAAATTGAGACATTTCTAGCAATTGTTTTTTTACTGTTGGTAACGGACCAGATAGCACAGAGATATCTTAAAGATGTCGGACTCGGACATTTATGGCATCTCCAAGACGTCCAGTTTACGACGTAACTCATCTTTAAGACATCTAATGTTACAAAACACACCCAAGCAACAATTTAAGTATTTGTTACGTATATGGGACTATTGAAGAAACTTTAAAGTGTTTTGCGACAGTCGCCAGTCTCTTTATATTACTCTTTCATTACTAAGTTACGACTAAATTGGGGAACAATTATTTAGTTCCAAAAAGGTAACAAATATGTCACTAGCTATAAACCCTGCTACTATTTGGAACGTAGCTGCTACGTTACTAGAACGTTTCAATATCGTTGCTAGAGCGTTATAATAACTTTAATTTATTTGTTTTTTCTTCTATATTAACTGTCTTTGTAAAACTTATATTAGATTATACTATCCCTCCTTTTTTAAATGGAACCACTACGGACTCTGCTTTTCAATGTCGTCGTTTATTAAATATGTACTGGTAGTTTATAACCAGAATAACAATATATTGTTTAAGGTAAATGTATAAACCCTTTAAATTTTACTGTTGAACTTATGAATTTAGTTTTTTGTAATATAAATGGGCTTCATCAATATTTAAGTATAAACAAATTATATATTTAATAATGTTCATAAATAAAAAATCTTAATATTTATTATTAATTATTTATTTAATTATTAATACCGTCTATTACCAACAAAATTACTAATTATTAAAAAGTAAACAACCATTTACAAACAATTAAAATAATTTATTATTTACATTACCACGTGGTACTGGACAGTAAAAAATAGCCGATAAGAAGCATTTTCCTTTGAAGTAGTTTTCGCTACTTTAAAGTTTTTTCCACCTTAATTTTCTTTACGGTAGTTTTGGTTAGTACCATAAACGTTCCAAATACAAACATAATAACTTTTAAGTTATTAACTTTGTAGTTTTTTACTCATGTTCCAGTTTCGAGATTTTAACTTGCAAAGGGACCCCAAAGTAAAAATAATTATAATGTAATCTTTAGGTAGCAACCGAAAGTAACTGCTACAAATTAAATTTACTTAAAATTTGTTTTTACTTATAACACTTTTTTTAAAGTTGCAGAGTCTTCTTGGGCTCAACAAAGTTTTACTTAAATGTTTATTACTTTATAATAACCATTTAAGGAAAGAATTAAGTTTCTGTTACAAAATATTGCTATTTAAAAGTTAGAATTACTTTTAAGTAAAAATTAAAGTAGCTGTTTAGTATACTTAACTAATTTAAAGATATCGCCACTTTGGTAATGGTTTTTGGAACCAAAAATGCCGCTTGGGCAGCGTCTTTTTGATGTCCTTTTAACGGCATTATTAAGTCGTTGCTAAACGTTAAGACGTCTTTAAGACTACCTATTGAAAACGTCTTGGTTATGCATTGCTACATCGCCAAAACGTTTTTAAGGTATTAAGCAGAGCTGTCAAAAATACTTTAAAAAATTATCTAGTTACTAGATAAGTTACTTTTTAAAAGTATTTGAAGTTACTTTGGGTATCTAGTTACTCTTTAAAAAAAGGAACTTAAGTACTTATCTTAAGTTACTTTTATAGATAATTAATAAGATACTTTTTTAGTTACTTTGTATATTATGTATTAAGTTTGGTAATTGGGATTCCAATCGCAATCCCAATTCTTAACCTGCTGTCGGATTTGAACCATATGCAATCCTCATTCACACATCCACCCCTACCCTGATTTTTTAACTAATTTTATACTAGCTTATTTTTGTAATTTTTTTTTCAATAAAATTTAGTTGATTAAAACAATTGAAGAGTCCAATGCAAAAAGTGCCTAACACAGGCAAAAATAACATAAAAATATTAACAGATACAATCGTTAATTAAACACCACTTAATTGTAAACAAAACAAAATTATCTCACTTTCCATTTAATATATTTTTTTAAGTTAAAATGGAAAACGTACAGTGAACATAATAGAACGTAAGATATTAGATACTTTTTGTTAAAAAAATAAAGGAACTAAAATACAGTAACTTGGATACTCTAAAGTAACTAAGATACTTTTTTCTGACAGCTCTGTTTAGAACCATCTAAAAATTCCAAAACCCTCCTATAATTGCTTTAAAATGCCTAAACCGTTTTTTAACAAATATCCAGACAAACTCTTGGGGCAGCGCATTCTACCTCTGGACGGTTTGCAAGCGGGTTACCGACACATTTCGCTAAGAACCGAGGCGAATTTCCCCATGTCGTTGCCGATGTTGTTTTGCAACATCGAACTGAAAATCTACGTTCCTGACGGTTTCGAGGACTTCATGGCCGCCTTGAGCGACCCTAGGGGCTTCATGGGCGCGCAGAAGAAACAAAACGAACAAATGTCTTCCATGGGTATCGAGGTTACCGATAAAAAGGGGCAGGAAAACAAGGAGAAGAAGGAGGAGAGGAAAGTTGGTAAGCAAAATACTATGCAATACTTCTATAATGGGGTAGTTAAATTTTTTCTGACCTATACTTTTTATGGTTTTATTCAAGGCGTTTTGTAATATTAAACATTTCTGTGAAATCAGAATTTCAATTGAGTTTACCGTTTTCGAGATATTTACAAAAAATATAAATTTTTATGACGTCACAAACCTCGGCATGTGACCAACATTCTAAGATTTCTATTGGTTGAAAATTACCCTGTTGTCAAGTTGTCTTGTTAATGATTTCATTCCGTTATGTCAGAAAATACCCGTAGAGGTTATGTACAAATACTGTCACTGTCAGTTGAGTGAAAGATGGTTACCAAATTCATTAAGTACCTAACTTCCTTATTACGAGGTATCATATTACTGTTTGATATTTTAGAGTCCAAGATATATCTAAAAGAATATAAAGAACTAGGCATTATACTAATAAAATGCATTTACGACAAAATATGATTATAATTATAGGTACTTGCTTTATTTGTTTAAAAGCTCCAATGTTCAATGTAACCAACCATTCCACAAGATTCCTCTGCTTTGGAGTCCGTTATTAATAAATCACTTATCTAATATCAATTACAAATAACATAACAATAACATTGATTTTCAATAATGTAAATTAAAAAAAAACATGACCCGAAAAAAAGAAACGTCAAAAAATCAATTCTTCTTCTTCTTCTCAACTAAAATTATAGATCAAGTGGTTTTAAAACTAAAATATTATAACGTGGCGCCATCTATCGTAAGAATCTTAAACTAAACACACTGGCAACCATAGAAAAAGCTGGCATCGTTGTCAATAGCCTAGTGACGTAATTAGGAGATTTTTTTTTGTAAATATCTCGAAAACGGTAAACTCAATTGAAATTCCGATTTCACAGAAATGTTTAAAATTACAAAACGCCTTGAATAAAACCATAGAAAGTATAGGTCAGAAAAAATTTAACTACCCCATTGTTTAAATAGTCCTTAAAACGCCATGAACCATTCGAGATGTCCTAAAACCAGCCTTAAAGTTTTAGAAGATATTATTTTTAGAACCTATGGTTTTCGAACCAATCACCATTGAGTCGATAAAACAAGACAAGGCTTTCCAAAAAACCACCAAAAAACAGCAAAAAGAGTACGACACTTTGCGCAAAAAACAAACCAAAGAGAAGTTGGCTGTCCAAAAATCTCAGTGTCTGGCCATTGAAAAATTAATTAAAGGAAAAAAGTAAGTTTACAATAATTATTGTTAACCCTATTTTTTGTAGCTTATACGCTAAAGAAGTATCGGGTTTTAGCAACGCGTGCGCCATCTGGTGGACTTCGATAGCATTGCGTGAATTTAAGAATTTTCAACATCATTTTTAAATAAATAGGTAGTTTTTTCACAAAAGAGACAAATTTTGTTCAATTGCACAGCTAAATCGCGCACGTTATTTGTGTTTTACGCTGCAAGGAAAAAATTAAAAAACTTTTTTAGTACTCGATTTCGATTGATTATTCCTTTTATCATTGATTAAGAAACTCAACGCTTAAATGCTTATATAGTTACGTTAGTGTGTGCATTTTATGTGCATTTTATCCAAGGAAATAAAATTCAAGAACTAAATCGTTGCATTTTCATGTTTTGCCAAAGGATCCAATTCGGTAAGTACTTTTGTTGTAGCAGAATTAACTAATAATAACTTTACCTAATATAATTTATATTTAAGTTTGGTTTTTTTATGAAAAGTAAAAAATTATTTTTGCACAAACATAACCTTAAAATCAAAAATTTTTATATTTGAGTTCTCTAAAAAACGCCGACAACTGCATTTTAAACAACAAAATATACCTACGAATTCATGGCAACATAATATTATATATAATACACAATATAATGGTATTTTACCGTTGAGTGGAGACTTTCTTAATCAACGCTTTTAATAATGCTAAATGCTGTTTAAATTTAGACGACTTATTTGTTTGACGATTTTTACTGAATTAAAATGTGTATTTATTGTATCTAATAGGTACAATTTATATTTTTATAGAGACTGTATGCAATTTATTTCTTCATTCAGATTAAAACTGTTTATTGGAAAAACGGTAAAAACTCAACCCAGAATTTCCTCTCGAAATACACCCAACAACACAACAAATCGAGCCACGGTTTTTTTCCGATATTTTTTAACATTTCCCGGCTTTATTCTCAAAAACACTCCTTTATAACATAAGCTTTTATCAGCTGATTATTAAAAGTCGTACTTTTGTTACGGTGGCGCTACTAGCGATACTTCTTTAGCGTATAACTCTCAGAACTCTCTAAAATGTCATAAATCGATAACAGTCCTGTGTTGTTCCAAGAACAAAAAATAAATAAAAACCGTAATTTCAAGCAAAAACGACCTCGCGAACGATCCAGCGGTGAAAAAAATGGTGGGAGAACAGACTTTGGAGTGGAGCGAGTTGATGGGGCGCCACAGAAAACAGGAGTGGGAATTTTTGAGGCAGCAACTGGACGATCAACGGGATGTTTTGAGGAAACACATGGAAATCCTGCAGGCTTCTCAAGTCAAACAATTAGAGGTGAAACACGACAAGGATATGAAGGATTTGAGCGTGCAGCAGGCCAAACAATCCGTAGAAACTGCAAAAGAGGTGAGAATTGTTTTTTGTGTTTTTCGTTTGTCCAATTTCCTTTCCGTTTTCGAGTAAAAAACTTCAATTTTGCCCCTTTCATCTGACAAAACTTTTCTGTATACCTATTTTAGGTTGCAAATGACAAAACCCTGAAAAACAAAAAGGACAAGGACAGGAGATTGAAGGAAAAAACTCAGAACAACACGAAAAAGTTCCTTGAAGAGCATAAAACGGCCACCATTAAGCAGGGAAGGGAAAAGGAAAAGTTGAAAATAACTCACGACAAACAGTTGGAGATGTTATCGCACGACATTCAAAAATTGATTGACATGTACAAAAACGAAGAGTTAGAGTATGAATTAAGCGGCAAAAATGAATTTTACGCTTGAGGGACCAAATTTGTTGGAATTTATTATTAAATATTGTACCAAATTTATTCAGTATTTTATCTACTTGCATAGTTACTGTAACTGTAACTGTTACATTTTTTTAAATTAATTTTACATGGAGATTTAACGGTTTTAAAAAAAAGAAAAAGAAACTATTGGAAAAATTTAAAAATTAAAATAAAAACCGACCATGAAAATTTATTAATGTTATGTGATAAAATAATGAAAATTATGAATATTTTTTTGCATTTTAATAAAAAAACAATAATTAAATTGATTTTATCAGGGATTTACCAATTAAAACAAATTTTTATAGTTTATTACATTTTTTACAATTTTTAGGGAAATTTTAAATCTAATATTTATTCCACATAAAAACTATGATTCTGATGAAGTATAAAGAAATTTAAAAAATTGGAGGTAATGTCAAACATTACACAATTGTCCTACTTATTGAAAAAATAGTTCTATACAAACATATTTTAAAAAATTGCTGTATTTTTTGACATTACATTCCAAAAAAAAGTAGTCAATTTTCATAGTAAAATTGAATAATATTTTATGTAGAATACAAAAAAAAATCAACTATTTTTTTTTGAAAAATATATCAAAAATATGGTTTGGGGTGACAAAAAAAATTATTGTGAAAGTTTAAGTCCATAATATCGCAATTTTAATTTTTTTTCCTCAGCAAGTTTTTGTCTCAGAACTCCCAAACCATTGAGTTTAACAAAATTGACTTAAAAATATTTTTTTAAGAAAATTAAATGCTCTACAAAAAAGGTTAAATTTTCCGTCAGATGAACTGTTTCCTTAAAATCATGCCTTAAAAATTGGTATAGTTTTACATTTTGATCTTTTAAATTAGAATTTTGTAATTCATGTAAAAATCAGTACCCATAAAAAACCGATAAATATTCTTATGGGAAATCAAATGCTTTGCAAAAAAAGCCTCTCAACATTTTTGGCTAAATTCACTCAATCAAAAGTTATTCAAGGTTAAAATTTCGTTTTGACTTCAAATTTAACCTTGAATAACTTTTGATAGAGTGAATTTAGCCAAAAATGATAAAAGACTTTTGTGTAGAGCATTTGATTTCCCATAAGAATATTTATCGGTTTTTTTCCGGGTACTGATTTTTACATGAATTACAAAATTCCAAAGTGAAAAGATTAAATTGTAAAACTATACCAATTTTTAAGGCATGATTTTAAGGAAACGGTTCATCTGACGGAAAATTTTATTTCAATCTTTTTTGTAGAGCATTTAATTTTCTTAAAAAAATATTTCTGAGTCAATTTTGTTAAACTCAATAGTTTAGGAGTTCTGAGACAAAAACTTACTGAGGAAAAAAAAATTAAAATTGCGATGGTAGACCTCTACTATTAATATTATGGACTCAAACTTTAACAATAATTTTTTTTGTCACCCCAAACCATATTTTCGATATACCTTTCAAAAAAAAAATAGTCGATTTTTTTGGCCCAGTCTAGAATACATGGTAAGAAAAATATAACTAAGAATCACCCTGTATAATGCTTGTTAGCTGAATACATAAAATGCTTTAATATTTTGGAATTGATTGTTTTTCCTAGAAGTCAGTTTTGCAGGTTTAAATGTTTATTGTAATGTTATACTTTATATATGTTTATATATGGATGTTGTAAAATTAATACTATAACGGTATCTAATGTTTAAATTTCAGATTTTAACAAAGTTTAGGCCTAGTCCAAAATCCTATTAGATTTAACTTTATTGTATAGATCTGTTATTATTTATTTAATATTAATTATGTTGTAAATCTGGTGAAATAAAAAGTATTTAAAATATACTCACCGTTTTTTCTTTCAAACAAATTTAAAAAAAAATGTTAATTTGTGACAAATTTAAATTAAATTTAATAACGTCAAAGTAGTTCAAATAAATTTAATAACGTCAAAGTAGTTTAAACGTACCCATAGCTGCCAACGAATTAAACTTAAAATTTATGAACTTATTCAACCCGTGGACACTTATTTGTAATCTGGGTTGTATAAATATTAAAAAATATAAGGAGTTCTGCAACCCGTCGACAATTATTTGTAATTTGAGTAGCATAAACCGAAATTTTAGTAACATTTTTTTATTTCTTTTCGTTGTTTAGTAACAAACAAAATGGCCGTGTTTTAACTATCGACAAAACTTTTGCAGAATTTGGGTGAGTTAAGTGCGAGGTAACGATGGAATCCGAAAAAGCAGAACCGACTTCTGATTCTACGGAAAAAACGAGTGAAGAAAATCAAGGTGGTGATGTAATTAGCTCCAAGGAAAACGAGACACCGGCTAAAACTGATGACGAAGTAAAAAGTTGTAACAAAAACGATGTTACAAGCGATAAGAAGAAGGAAGTTAAAGCTAAAACGTTAAATAATTCAGGTAAACTAAACACCAGTGGCGAACAGGAAGTCGTCGACGTCCCCGACGCGTTTTTCGACGATTTTCTGGACAATGATTTCATGGAAGGACTTGACATCGTCGACGATGTTGACGACGAGGATAACGAAACCGAAAAAGCGGAGAAAAAAGCTCCGAAAAAAGAACCTAAATCCAAACCTAAACCTAAAAGTCAACCCTCTCAAAGAGACCCCTTGAAAACCAAACGGGACATGGAGAACTACCAAATCAAATACAATAAGGACAAGCAAATGAAGCTTATTTCACAAAGGTTAGATTCCGGGCTTGTGCCACCTGGAATGGAAATGGATATTGAAGCAGTAGAACAAGAAATGCCTTCTGATGATCTTCGAGAGAAAATTAAACAACTGAAGTCTAAAGGTGTCACCGAGGAGGGGGAGGAGTCCAAGAATAAACAACACAAAAGTAAAAGTAAGTATTTTTTCCTAGGAAAGCTTTAATTGACATTTTTTAACCTGTTAGAGCTTTTTTTGACAAATTTGATTGATGGGTATTTTTAATATTTAAAATTGGTACTTCTGTTCAAGGCCTTAACTTTAAATACTTGACTTTTATCATTTAAGGAGGTTCAGGCAGTACATTGCAGGAAAAGGGGGTAAGAGGAGTTGCTTTTATACTTAATGCATAAATGCCAATAGGTACAACTGGCAAAAACAAAATTTATTTTGTCATTTTATAACATTTGATTTTAAAATCAGAGAATTTTCTAACTGACTTTATAATTATTTTTTATTTTAATACAAAAGGCACTATATATGTACATATATATTGTAACACAAGAACATGAAGTAAAAAACGTAAAAAATAGGATTTGAACGCGACACAATTGCGAGTTGTTGGTAGTTGGTTTCTGTGGTAATTCTTGTTGATTTTAACTTTGGCAGTGACAGTTCTATATGCAGTGTTATTTAAAATATAAAAATAAGTTGTGGAAGCGAATGAATTCCACAAAAAAATGTAAGAGAATGAAAACTAAAGCAACAGAAAACATGCAGTATGTTGAATGCAGCAAAAGTCTAAAGAGAAGAGCAGAAATCTACGAGAAAAAAACATAGGTAGGATTGTCTAATTATTAAAAAAAAAAACTTATAAATAAATAACTTATAATAAATAACTTATTACAATTGTGTTTTTTTAAATAATTATTTAAAAAAACAATTATAATTATAATTTACTTTTAAAAAGAAATTATGGTAGTCACAAAATAAATCAAACCAAATATCCCTAGTTAATCACGTGTTTGTAATCCAGTGTTGCCGGGTATTCTAAACGAAAATGACAGATTGATAATTTTGCTTGGACACAGTCAACATTATCGTTTATTATTGCACAGGCATAAGTGCCTGTGCAATAATAAAACGAAAATTTCATTAATTTTTTAATGTCAATTTATAAGATATGCATTAATTAATATAGTGGCTTAATAATAATAATTATTATAATGTATATATTGTCCAGGACTATTAATGATCAGCAAATTGAAAGAAGAAAAAGTTTTGTGATTGTTGCTTATCTTTTTCAAACCAAATGGATGCTATTTTCAAAGATATGAAAATTAACTACTAGATTATTCACAAAAAGGTTGAACCTAACATCAAATAATTTTTATTTTTTGTTTTTTTATTCCCCCTTATTTATAAAATTTCAAAAATTTATCATCTGCTCAGCTGAAAATAATGTGTGATTTAATATTTGTAAAACCAAAAACGTTACTTTTTTACTCCAAAAATGTCCATAAGGCGATGTACTTTTTCTGCCATTGAGGCATTTGGCATAACTATCAAAATGAAGTTTTTCCCTAAAAAGATCTTTTACTTTAGAATCTGATATTATTTTTGGCATAGTTATCTTTTTATATCGATATTATATAATAATTAACAAGACTTAGTACATTATCAATAATAAATATTACTGTCAATTTGACATTGTCAAAGTATTTATAATTAAGGTCTTTAGCAGAAGTACCATTTTTTAAATACTGAAAACCAAAGTGGCATAAGCTACCAACTTAATAAAAAAACGAGTCCAAATTTAAAAAAATGAACTGTATATTTCATCAAAAATTTTAAATAATATTACTACCAACATAACTATCTGTCAATTGCCAAATAAAAAACCGTCAATTTATGTCACAATTTAATCGTTTTACAGGTTCCAAGACTAAAAAAAGAATATCTCCAGGATCCTATTCAAAAAAAGGCGAAACAAAATCTTCGCCATTAAAACTATCACCAGGTCCTATACAAAGAAAAAAATCTCCCCTTGTAAATAGAAAAAGATCCCCTCTCAAGAAAAGTCCTATCGACAAAAGAAATTCGCCGACAACAAAAAAATCGGTCGAACGAAGAACTTCGCCTTTGAAAATAAGTCCGAAAATGGCTTCGCGAGAGAGGTCCAGAACCATAAACCGGCGATCTAGAAGTCTAGAAAGTCCGGACAGAAGAAGACGCAGCATTCACTCGCGAAGCCCGCTCAACAAAAGGCAAAGAAGTCCAGAAAAACCGTTTTACAAGGCGAAGTTCCCGAAACTGGGACGCCCAAGCCCGCCACCCAGGCACTTCAGGAGGTCGCGGAGTCGAAGTCCAGACAGGCGGCGGAGGAACTTCAGGGATTTCAGGGATTTAAGTCCTGTAAGGAGAAGGTCCAGGTCCAGGTCCAGATCTAGGCCTAGGGATCCAAAGAAGTATAAGTATGTTGAGAAGAGTTTCTTGGAGGAGATAGCGGAGAAGTTGAACGGAATACCTTCGCAGTTCAATAATAGAATGCAAATGAACAATGTTCGGTACCCGGTTCCCGCGGCAGCGCCCTCTAACGTTGTTTATCCACCCATACAACAAAATTACGATCAACAGTTCTTTTTAGGGAATACGAATCTTAATCCCCCCCAAAATGTTATGGGTACGAACAAATTATATCGGAAATATTGAAAAAATCATGCTGAATTTACTTTTTGTAGGGCAAGTTCCTATGTCCACTGCCTACCCAATGCAGCACAACATGATGCAGCAGTATCCCCCTCAACAGCAACAGATGGCTCAGCATTTCCCCACCATTCCCCTAAATCCATCATCCATCCCCCCCATCACCAAACCAAACGTGCCGACTGTTCAAAAGCCTGCTCCGACACCCAACATCATATCGGTGCCATCTGCCAGCACACAAAATCGAGATCTTGCGAAGGTAGGTTTTAATTTTCAGCGTTTTCCTTCCTAACGCAGGGTATTTTGTGCTTTTAGCTGTATGAACAGAAAAAAATCTCCCTGTCGGATTATCTGTGCATATCGTCGAGACCTGAAGGTTCTATTTTGGTTTTATTTTATTTATTGATACTTAGTAGATTACCCGGTATCCCGTTGATAAGTTATAACTCTTTAAATAAATGCTTTAATAAAATGGCGCACTCGGTAGGATATTTCGTGTTTCTTACATTTTAGCTTGAATTATGTAGGTTACTTGGTGAGTCATGGTATTAATTAATAATTATTTTATTTAATCTAGTGCAAACGTCAAATCCCGAACAATTGAAGGAAAAGATAAAGGGTAAGTTCAAAATATTGTACAGGATTGTCTTGTGTTAATTTCAATGAAAACATCAAGATAATCCTTAGGTTTAACATTCTTTATTGTACCAACAAAATATTTAAGATTTTTTTTGTATAAATAAATTGCACGAATTATTTCAAAAAGTATTGGCATAATTCAACTTTACTTCTAATTTAATTGCATCCTAAAGCGGTTAAAAAATGCTTTTTTAATTTATAGAATTTTGGTTAACATTCAATCTGAAGGCTTTTATTACAATTTAATATCACTTGCGGAAAATAAACTCGACAAAGGCAATAAAAATGGCGCTTATTAACATAAAATTTATAAATTGAAAAAAAACAGCGGTTTTAAAAATATAAAAAAAAACTTTTAAAATCTAAAATCGTTGTAACTTTGTTTGAAACAAAGTAAGTTTTACATGAATATTATTATAGTTATTAAGTACTAATCCTGTAAAGGATTTTGCTTCATTACCTCTGGTTATCAAATTACAGTGCAAAGTTTAGTTTTTCTTTGACAAACTTAAAAAAAAATTTAAATTAAACATTTCCATTCTTTCCAATGAAGCGATTTTTGCAATTAAAAAATCCAATAATTTTGCAATTTTGAATTATTTTTTAATTTTTTCAAAACGTATTTAAAAAAATTCAAGCTCATTGTAAAGCTTGATTTTTCGGCTTTAAAACCATATAACTTTAATAATAGGATAAAAATTATATTTCGAGCTTTTCAACTGCTTGATGAGCTAAATCGCAGAAGTGTGTTATCTGTCATCAAGAGCTAAATAAATCATTTTATCTACACCCACATTGACAAGCGTTTTAGTCAAGGGCTGAAGTTAACAACAGTGGCTTTTGGGCATTTTAGTCAAGGGCTAAAGTTATCTTTATAATATAAATAACAAAAAAGTGAGGTTAAATTTGTCAATTGTCAAATATTTATGAATTAAAATTGGCTTTAAATTTTTATTTCTATTCGTTTTAGATAAAGTATAGTGTTCAACACGTTTTATAAACTTTTCTAGACTCTCGTTTTTATTAAACACTCGCTTGCAAGCTCGCTCGTGCCTAATTTCAAAAAGATTGGGAAAGTGAAATTGGCAAATTTTGCCCCATATACAGGGTGATTCTTTTAACTTCAATCTTTGAAATATCTCAGTACATAGGCATTTTACAAAAAAAATTGAAAATAAAAATTAAATGATTTGATGGGGGAAATAAATTGTACCAAAATTATTCCCCATACTTATCTTATTATTTAAAATTTTCAATGCAACACCCTATTTTTTATTGCACATTTGGATCATTGGAATAAAAATATGTAGATTTTGTCTAAAACATTTTTTTATATTTGTAAAAGATGGCGCTGTGATAAAAAAATCAATTTTCTTCTGTATAAGATTCTGAAATAATTTTAAACTACCATACCCCCCATAAGCATGAGATTATGGGTAATAATTTTGGTACAAATTTATTTCCTCCCTTAAATCATTAAATTTTTATTTTAAACATTTTTTTTTGTAAAATGTCTATTAACTAAGATATTTTAGATTTTCAAGTTAAAAGACTCTATATACATTTGTTTGCGTCTCACCCCTGTAAAATCTTTATTTATTGTGCGATTTTAACCGGATTTGTTTTAAAGTTTAGATCTTGAACTGTATTTTTGAAGCAAAAAACGCCATATTTGTACAAAATACAAGGCCTACTATGTCAGTTAATAAGAGTCAATTTTTAAGAATTCATATTAGCGATTTTTTTAAACAAAATTTAAGCACGGCACTGGATTCACCACCCCTCAAAACGACCCTATACTAAATTTTATTGAAATTTTTTTAGTAGAAAAATGCACAATATTTACAAAAATGTATTGTCATGTTATCCATGAAAAAAACATTGTAATAAAATTAAACATAGTACCATGTTACTATTGGTTTAATTTTATTTTAATGTTTTTTTCATGGATAACTTGACAGAACAAATTTTTGTAGTTATTATTGGGTCATTCCACGTTACTCGGGGATTTTTGTCCCGCCCGTCACAATTAAAAATTTATTTAAAAATATTGTTTTATTATGCTTTTAATAAAATATAAGCACAATAAAAATAATATTATAAAATATTAATTCTATAACTTGTGGGTTTTACTCACAATTTTTAATTGTGACGGGCGGGACAAAAATTACCGAGTAACGTGGAATGCCCCTATTGTGCATTTTTTACTAAAAATTTTCAAATAAAATTTAGTATAAGGACGCTTTGAGGGGTGTTAAATCCAGTGCCGTGCTTAGATTTTGTTTAAAAAAATCGCTAATATGAATTCCTAAAAATTTACTCTTAAAAACTGACGTAGTAGGCCTTGTATTTTGCAAAAGTATTGCGTTAATACAGTTTATCAAGATCTGCATATAATATTATTTACAATTAAATTAGAAAAAGTGAATTAATTAAAAAAAAGTATGAAATAATTCAAAAACCTGTATAAAACTGTATTTATCTATGTAGTTATATCGAGATGCCAGGATGCGGTAAAATTTTTGGACGTTGAGAAGAAATATAGTGGCAAACTGGCCGCCAAATCGTCCCTGATCGCGGAAGTACCAACCGCGAAGTACAAATCGCCCCTGCTGCGCAACCACAAGAACAGCATACCTTTCACCACGCCCCCTAAAAAAATACCCCCCGGTCAGGAGTTCTCGGCGTACCTGGAGCGCCTGTTGGCCGCCAGCGGGTTCAAAACGACCGCGGAGGAGGAAGTTGCGCCGTCGAAGGAAGCAGACGAAGAGTCACCATCAGCGAACGCCGTGAAGCGCATGCGCGACGGGCAGCTGTCGAAAATGATTCAGACCGAGCCGGCGCCGTGCAAAAAGTGCGAACTTCACAAGCGCAAGACGTTCGCGACGGTCGGCGTGCAGTGCGGCGAGTCGCAGACGGGAGACGCGGAGACGCAGGTGACGGAGGACGATCTGCTGCCGAAGAAGCGCAGCCTGGCCGGCTTGACGCCCGCGCAGCTGCTGGGGAAGAAGAAGGAGGAGCCGAGGAACAACTTCAGGTACTCGCCGAGCCGCGAGGACGCCCGAGCGCCGCCGCCCAGGACCTTCCAGCCGTACAATCCGATGATGCAGCAAGGGAATCCGTACGGTGCCTATGGACCATACGGATACGGCAGATTTTAATTAAATTATATTATTAGCTTGGATGATCGTAGTATTTTTTTTACGAATGTTGTATTTTTTTTTATTGATGGTAATGTATTTAAGTTACACCGATTAATTTGTTCTTAGACGTGATTTAAATATGTATATGTTAATAAATAATGTATGTAAGTATATATATTTGTTTTTATTTCAAGTAGATCTAGTTTTTGGGATTTGGGACAACATATTCATATGGTGATGGTTTGGTAATTAAAAATTAAAAAATTTAAGAAATTCGCTATTTTAATACAGTTTTTGACAGTTTTCCACATAACACACATACAGGGCTCCCCAAAAGTCCCAGAATTTTTAAAGGAGTAAAGAAAAAAATAAAAAATTTGGGGATCATAAAAAACTACATTCATTAGATACTTTAGAACTTTCAAGCAACATGGAGTTTTTTTAGGGGATGACCACCCCAAAATTTTAAATAGCAACCCCTGTCGAGTTTCACCTTATTTTAAAGGTAATGAAAAAAGAAACATCCCCATAAACGAAAACCCAATTACTTATTTCTTTCAAGAGTTATGAGGGGTTGACTACTAAGTGGGAAAATAAAATGTTTTTGCACGTTTATTACGATTTTTATTATAAATAAAGTTATAAAGTGCTCTTTTAGTTCCACCCTTACATCCAAACTAAGATGTCCCATAAGCCAACTGAATGGCTTGTGCGGGTTAAGGGTAGGAACGGACCGACGGCTTAAAGTCCCCTCCGAAGGACTATGTTCAAATTGTCGACCAGTAGTGATATTGGTATGCGATTTTCCAAATCATTTATTGATTCTGGTTTTGTTGTATACACTTGAAAAAATCGAGTGGAGTTAGATCAGGAGATCGTGGTGGCCACTCAATTTCACCTCTTCTACCAATCCAACGGTTTGGAAACGTGCGGCTTAAAAAGTCTCGAAATGCGCGACTAAAATGTGGAGGAGCTCCATCTTGTTGGAACCACTTATTTGTTATATGCACTTATTGTCAATGTCATTAGGGCATAAGGCACGTAATTAATTTTCTGCGGTCTGAGTATGATCTTCTTTTATTAGACGTGGATTTTCGTCAGCCCAATAACGACAAAAAACAACATTCAAAAGAAAATTTCTGTTAACATCACATTTTTCACGTAGGTAGGTACTATTTCACAAAATTCCAACCTGCTATCGGAAGGCACGTCGTTCAATTCCCAAACTAGGTGAAACTTAAAGGATAGATATTTTTAAAAAAAATTCTGTGGGCAGAAATTTCATGTAGGTACCCACTCGCTTTTAATAAGGAACTTGAAGGTTCTTTAATAAAATACAGTTCGTTTTTTTCTGGAGTTGTTGTAGATGTCGGTCTTTCACAGTTCCCTCTTCTTGAAATTTTCGAACACGTCTTCCTACTGTTGATTTAGAAATCGGGGGTCGTTGATGTTAAAAATCATTGAAGACATGCCGCACTTCATCATAAGATCTTGTTCTATCCCCAAAGCCACGAATCATTTAAAGAGTGATTTTTTCTAGTGCAAAAAAAACAATAAAAACATTAAATACATTAAAACATTTTATATTCCCATTTGGTAGCCATCCCCTCATAATTCTTGAAACAATTAAGATATCGGGTTTTGGATTATGGGGACGTGTTTCTTTTTTCATTACCTGGTGAAAGGTGAAAATGTTGGGGTGGTCATCCCCTTTTCATTTTTTTTTCTTCACTCCTTTAAAAAATATGGCTTCGTCCCGGGACTTTTGGAAAACCCTGTATTTAAAATATTAAATGAATATTTTTGCTAAATAACCTAAATATTTTAGAAATACTTGTCATAATCATTAAAATGTTTTTACCACATTTATATGTCCCACTTTTTATATTTATACAATATTTTTTCACAACATTTTTAAAACATGTTTTAGATATGTGCTTTACCTTATATTTTATTAATGTTTCCTCAACATCACAAAAATATCTGAAAATATTTTCAAAATATTTTAAATCCCCCACTTATGAACTGATTATGCGCAAAAATGATACGGCAAATCGACAAACTTCCATATACCTATAATATATATAAGTTATAGGTATATGCAAACTTCCCCTCAAAAAAGAAAACAAGGTCATCTATACAAAATATTGCGAATCAGCAGTATATGTTTCGAAGTATGTGGAAATTCCCTATAGTCCTAGTTTTGACTTTGTCTTCTATACAAAACATAGCGAAATCTATACAAAACATAGCGAATCAGCAGTATATGTTTCGAAGTATGTGGAAATTCCCTATAGTCCTAGTTTTGACTTTGTCTTTCGATATAACCTAACCTTAATTCGACGCCATTTTTTTATATGGCGTAAATTAATATAATCAAATGATTTTTTTTAAAGTCGCAAATTAATTAAAATCTGAACGATTATTGATTTACAAGGTGTACTTCTACCAGTTGAAAGTTCGTTATCGATCTATCCTGGTTATCATCAACTTTTGTAAATATAGAGGTAAATTTATTTATATCGCATTATTTATCATTTTGTACAGGCATTTCAGGGACACCTTGTACATTTTATAAAACAACACTGTACGAAGAGTTTGCGGAAACTAGTCGATAGGAAGTTTTTATTTGTTGCAAGTAACTTTTTTTTTTTCGCAATATTAATGAATCACCATGTATATTATTTATTTTGTTTCAACTAAGGATGTTCAATATCGACTCAATTTTTTGGTATGGGTACCTACCTGTAGTATAACCAATATTATAATTTTGATATATCCACATTTTTTTCTTTTTAGCTGTAAGTATGTTATTTTGGTTTTTATTGAATAATCGCGAAAATTCTTTTGTTTTTTTTATAATAAAATTTAACTTTTTATTTGGTATAAAAAATCATTATTGATGGTGTTGAATTTAATTGTTTTATTTTTAATTAATCCACTGTAAGTATATAGGCAAGAACAATACCATTAAAATACAAAAAAGAGGTCTTCAAGGTATAAAGGTGCGTACTGATTTTTTTAATTCCTACTGTAATAATAACCATAAAAATGTACTTTTTAGTCAATAAATTTTCTTATACAAAAACCTAGTTTATTTTTAATAAAAAACACCAATAAACATATAACATTTATTTATTTAGAAAAACCTATTCCCCACATTTCTAACACTACTAGTGGCAAGCTTACTGTAATCAATCTCCACGTAATCTTTAACCCCCTTATTTTTAACCTTCAACTTGATGACCGCCGAATCGGCTTCGTCGGGGTACTGCGCAGAAATGTGCACAGTCGACCCGTTCCCTATGAAACCCTTTTCGTGCGCAGCCGCAAGCTGATTGACAACGCGCCGCTCAACCTCGTATTTGATCGACCTTGCTCCGTAGTGCACGTCGTAACCATCAGCGAGGGCCGACTCTATGCTGCGATCCCATTGGATGTCGATCTTGTGCTTGTCTTTGGCCTGCAGAGATAAATTTGGCAACGGTTTGTTGGGACTTGACATTCTAGGTTACGATTTTGACACTTTAAATGTCAGATTTACTTAAAATGTCAAAGGTTGCTATGTTTATGAATAATAAACTTGATATTAGTTATACAGGGTGTTATGTAATTAATGTTATATATTAAAATGGGTTGTTCCTTAGGGTCCATAAAGAAGCACCTGAAACTTTTTTTTTCTAAATTCCAAAGTCTAAAAATAATTTATAATAACCTTTATCCTACCAAAAAGTACGCCACTGATCCACTAGGAACTTTAGGTTAATCTGGTGGATTTATTATGTTATGGTTGGTAACAGTGTTTCCAAAATCTCTCAAAAAAGTTGACAAACATTGTTTAAATTTAGCTTAATTACAAAAATGACAAAATTAACAATGCAAATTGTCAATTTGGCGTTTTTATTAATTGTTGGTTATTTCATTTTTGTACTGAAGGTAAATTCAAACAAAATCTGCCAACTTTTATGACAGAATCTAGTGCATTTCTTTTAAATTTTAGGTTATGTTTTCAAATTGTAAATATCTTAACTAAGGGAAGTGCTTTTGGATTTATTTACACAAATTAAATGTTTAAAGTTTAACCTGTGAACTGGTCCCAATTTCATCTGAGTAAACAGAGAAAAAAATTGATGAAAAAATTAATTTTGTGGTTATGGATTTCAAATTTCAAAGGTACTAAATTTTCTAATCATTGCTTAAGCTAATAGCTGGATCAGTAAATAAATACAGAAGGGTATTAGAGCTTTAAGGGCATAAAACTTTTGTATTTATTGAGTTTTTATTTATTTTTTGCAAGAAAAATTTTTAGTAACAATTTTTTACATCTGGCAACGCATAGCTACTTTGTTATCTATGGTTGGTATCTATGTACTCACAAAATACAGGTGTGCAGAGATAAACAAGTGTGTAACCAGTGGCGTATCACAAAAAATATAAAAAACTTCTAATGCATATTTTTTCTTTATCTTTGGAAAAATGTTTTTTTAAATATTTTTCCTTCATTCCTTATGTCAAAAGGTATTCAGTATTTTAATATATAACATTAATTACATAACACCCTGTATATTACCCTTTTGGCCCATGTATCCAGTTCTCTTCCAACCAACTGCAATAATTCGTGTCTAGAAAAGGGCAAAAAATAGACAATTTCATTGATTCTCCCCAAAAATTCGTCCCTTTTGAAGTGCCCCTTTAAAATTGGTTTTACCACGTCGTCCTTCCATTTTCTCGAAATTTTTATGTTGTCTATTATCCTAGATTTTTCTTTAAAAAAAACAATACAAAATACAAATTTGTATGCAAATTAATGTATTTTTTACCGCTTGACAATCTATTTTCGTGCAATTTTTCCACTTCTCTCCTCAAATCTAAGCCATGTTGCGCGATTTCGTCACTAGCCAAATTCGACGTCATGATAAAAATGGCGTCCTTGCATTCAATTGTTTTGCCTTGCCCATCTGTCAGCCTACCTAAAATGTCATTTTTTAACAGCTTTTAAATATTAAGCATGGTTGCCAGATCGAAGTTTTTTTCCGTTACCTTCATCAAAAAGTTGCAAAAGAACAGTTAAAACGTCAGGATGGGCTTTATCAACCTCGTCAAATAACACGACAGCAGAAGGGCACTTTTTCAACTTTTTCGTTAGCTGACCCCCTTCATCGTGACCTATGTAACCTGGAGGGGCTCCTATAAGTTTTGCCACCTAAAATTACACTGTCAAAGAATTTTAAGCAGAGTTGACAATTTTTTTAGATATCTCTAGGGTTCTGAGAATTTTTTCTTAGATTAAAAATATTATATTCACAAGTTCTGTTCTATCTCGTTTCGCGCATACTAAAAATCACAAAGGTAGGCAACCCACTGCACAGATTTTAACAGCGGCCATTCTTGTGCTTTGAGTTTCTGCTGTTCTTGCAGATTAAAAATCGTTTTAAACATTGCGTTTTTTACAAAGGCTAAGGGCAACCATTTTACTCCTATTTTGTTAAAAATAAACCTTATTCTATCAGGCCTGTCTTTAAAGTGTCAAATGTCAATTTTAAGGTTAATTTACCATACCCACAAATTATAAATTTAGGGTTCCTAGAATTTGCCAACTTACTCCCAAACTTTTGACGTCAAATTCCGAATAAAAAAACATTATTTGATATTTAAACCATAAAAATTTAAAACACTAATTACCTCATGTTTTTCCTGATATTCAGACATATCCAGTCGAATAAAAGCATCCTTATTTTCCCTATGAATATAGTGAGCTAAACGTTTAGCAAGTTCAGTCTTGCCAATACCAGAGGAGCCCAAAAATAAAAACACCAAAGGGTGTTCCTCATCTGCCCAGCCATTTTCTTTTCTTCTGACAGCTTAAAAATGGGAACTCGTTAAATTTTATCGATAATAAATGCTATACCAACTTTCTGAAACAATAGTTATAGCACCCTCTTGCCCCACAATGAACTTCTTCAGCCTTTCTTCAAGGGGATACAGGCGCCTTTCTTCCAATTCTTTTTGTTTTTTAATTTGCTCAAACTACAAAAAATTGAATCTTTAAAAAATAGTTCATTTTATTTATTTTGTATATAGGTAGTTATAGAGAGGTATGATTAAAAATATAGTTATTTTTTACCAAAGGCTAAGTTTCCTTACTTTTTGTGTTTCTTTTTCTAAAAACTTCTGCACAGCACCATCTTTGAGAGCATATTTAATAGGTTTATGACCAGCATCGTTTTCTATACAAGGATTAGCTCCATATTGCACTAATAATTTACATAATTCTAAACTATTTAATAAAGCTGCATAATGCAGGGCAGTGAAACCAAGAAATGTTGCCTTATTATTCAAATTTGTACTAAATTCCTCTTCCCTTACCATTAAAACTAAAAAAAGTAACTTTATAAAGTACCTATACTACTATTATAGTAAAGCAAAACAATAAATGTAAACCTTACTTTCTATAGGGTGCATTCCTTTTTCATTGGCTGTCCTGTTAATATTCACAAAATTATCACCCAAGTTAGGATCGGCACCTTTTTTTAGCAATTTTTCAGTTATGTTGTAATGTCCATTTACCACAGCAAGCATTAATACAGTCCATCCCAGTGGATGTCTTATATTAACATCAATGTTCTCCAACAAACTATAACATAATTAACACAAAAAATGGTACATAAATAATAATAATAATAATAATATATATATATATATTTACTTACTTATCAAGCTCATCTATAACACCATATTGAACCACTTTAAAAAACCTCTTATTCTTCATTTTAAGGATTGCATCGCAATTTACTACTCCTAATAATCCTGCTATAGTCAAGGTATACACTAAATTTATGCTTTTTCCTTGATTTTCGTGCCATTTTCGACGTTTTTCCTCTTTATTTAAAAAATTAGGCAAAATTTCCACATTTTTCGACAACAAACTAATTGATCTAGCTTTTTCTTGATTTAATCTACATTGTCTAATTCTATTTATTAAATCAAAACGTTGACATAGTCTAAACAACTTCAACATTTCCCAAAAACTTACATTTGATTTTTAAATTTTGACATTAAATTTGAAGGTTAAACCCAAATGTGTTTAAGGTTATGCTAAAACCGTAGACATAAAAAATATAGAAAAATAAAATACCTTAAAAACTATTTATATAAAAAAACTATTGATGAATTGTGTAAATTTAGTAATATTTTTTCTAATTTTATGTTTGTATTTTTTTATATGTTATATTTATTGAATGGTTTTGCTTTAAGTAATTTATTTTGATTTCTATTTTTGTTGTCTATGGGATGATAAGTTAGTTTCCTATTAGATCTGACATTTGAATGTTTTGCAAATTAAAGCTTTTTCATTTAAATTATGTAAAAAACTTAGTTTTAGCGGTGTAAAATTGAAGTGAGAGAAGTAGAGCTCGTAAACGTGTAATAATGCGTAAGTGATTCAGTTGAAATTTTAATAAATAGCCAAGTAGCCCGGGTTAATTGTTAATTTGAGGTTAGACGTCACAATGAAAGGGGCATGTCTTTTGTTTTCTGGTAAAATGACAACATAGAGCAAAATCTATGTAGGGCAAATATTTTTGTTGTTAGAAATACACAAAAAAATCGTAAAAAATGGATAATAACAACTATTTCAGATCTAAACCTCCATCTATGAATTTTGTGCATTCTGATGTCAAAACACAGGGGAAAAAAGTTAGCGAAGAGAATATTTGGAATACCTTAGAAATAACTAAGGAAAAACGGAGCCCTCCATATCACACAGACATTATATGGGTGCAGAATCCATTGCAGCAACTTATTAATAACGAATTGCAGCGAGATATGCCGGCAGCTACACTAGGTTGATACTTTATGACATAAATCTTATTTTTTTTGTTTAATATGAAGACATTTTAGGTAGCATACAACATCCCAATAATGAGGAGTGTGGCATCAGGGATGTTTGGGCACATAACTTGGAGGATGAATTTCGAACCATTAGACAGGTAACCAAAATAATCAAATTAGATATTTTTCTAGGAAATTTAAATTATTTATTACACATTCATAAAGGCTTTTATCTTGTAGAAAAAAGTACTGTGCTATCAATTTTTTTGTTTTTTTTCAAGATTGTACAAAAATACCAATATGTAGCCATGGATACTGAATTTCCTGGGGTTGTAGCAAGACCTATAGGGGAATTTAGAAGTTCTGCCGATTACCAATATCAGATGTTAAGATGTAACGTTGATTTGCTCAGAATCATACAACTGGGGCTCACATTTCTTGACGATAATGGCAAAACACCTGGAGGCTCTTACACTACGTGGCAGTTTAACTTTAAATTTAACCTGCAGTAAGTAATAATTTTGTGAGTTAATTAATCATCAGATTAATTTTATCAAATTCTTAAGGGAAGACATGTATGCCCAAGACAGTATTGATCTGCTAACAAACTCCGGTATCCAGTTCAAAAAGCACGAGGATGAAGGCATCGAGCCGCTGGAATTCGCCGAACTACTCATGACATCGGGTATAGTTCTGATGGACAACATTAAATGGTTGTCGTTTCATTCGGGTTACGATTTTGGTTACCTGATCAAGTTGTTAACTGATAACACTTTGCCCCAAGATGAAAACGAATTTTTTGATCTCTTGAAACTGTACTTTCCCACCATATATGATGTGAAGGTATAGAAAGAAGAATAATTATTATTAAAAATAAATAAATTACAAAAAGTTTTTTAATAGTGGATATTGTTATATCTGTACCCCAAAGCCAAACTTTATCAAGTCCACTTTTTAAAATCATGGTAAACAAAAAGCCAGGAAAAATGTGGTCAAAAATATGTAAAGTGAATTTTAAAAAGTGGACTTCTACAGGTTGGCCTGGAGTACAGACAATTTTTTACCATTTAGCAGTATTCACAGAGATAACATGACTTTGATTGCTCATTTTCCCTTGTTCTTTAAAATCACCCTTATTTGCGATATTTTTAATTTAATATTTTTTAGTACCTGATGAAGTCTTGTAAGAATTTAAAAGGAGGTTTGCAAGAAGTTGCAGAGCAACTGGACCTTGAAAGAATAGGCCCCCAACATCAGGCTGGATCTGATTCTTTATTGACTGGAATGGCCTTTTTTAAAATGAAAGAGGTAGGTAAATGATCATTTAGTAGAACACAAAAAACATGAATCCATTGTTTAAAATATTTAAAAGTGTGTAACCACTGCCAAAAAGTTTTTGTCTTCTTAAAGTTCAAAAAGTCACTTTTTGGCCTTATATACGCAAATAACTATTTTGACATATTATTAACAAACAAAGATTCTAACCTTAAACTTTTTTGGATGTGGGGTGCTTAATTATTTAAGAAATGGAAGTGTCTATTAAACCGCCGGCATGATGGGGAAGGGAGATTTTGTTATAATCATCTCAAGAAGTCAACAATCGGCAGTAAAGTAAAAGAAATCGGCAGTAAAGTAGAACTTGACTGCCGATTTAATACGAGTATTGTATGCAACCCATTATACATTTGAAGATGTGTCTACTGCTCCTCAGCAGCAACTAAATAATATTAAAAAAAAGAACCGTCGCGGAGGTCGAAAAATAATAAGTTAATAGATTATAAAATCGCCGCGGCGGGCCAATATATGATAACCGTCGCAACAAACAGTACCTATACGTAGACACTTCCTACATTCAAATGACATTTGATTTCATCATCAAATGACATTTGATTTAATCATCAATTTTAATTATTAGTATTATTAAATGTGATTTCGGATAAAATTTAATATGCATCTCGGCATTAAGAAGTCATTTTTTATCACGAATGTGGATATATAACCATGACTTTACTGCCTTGATACATAAATAACTATTTTAAATGGCCAAACATCATTTTTAGGTTTTTAATTAGGTTTTTAAAAAAAACTTAAATGTTGGCACAAGTTTATAATGTTTTTTGACAATGACATCTGTCAAACAAAATAAAATTCGGCCAAATTAAATTTAAGGTATAAAATTAATATTTTTTTTAGAATTTTTGCAAAATAGATAATATAGCATAAAGAACTCATGTCATAAGACCTTTTGTCGCACGCGGACAATTTATAAAACTAGCGACGAAGAAGCGAGTTTTGTAATGGACGAGTGCGGCAAAATGACGTCTTGTGACATTAGTTCTTTAATATACTAGGTATTTCCTGTATTATGCAAACTTTATAATTTTTCTATTATGAGATTTTTTAGTAACAAGATCCACATTACAATTGGATAACGCTTTTCGAAAAGGAACCAAGCGCCAAAAAGTTTTTTTGGGGTTAATAAAATTATTTGTAAAATAACTCATTTTTAATAACTCTCAAAAGGTTGATTACATATTTTCTTTCATTTCTTTTCAATACATTCAACATTGCCGAAAATTACTTATCATCGCACACAACATTATTCTTACACCTTTGAAATCATCCATATAATTTTCTTAATCATCAAATAGTTTCTACCAGTTTGTTTTGGATTTATACATTTTTATTGTTCAACCTTCTTTATAGTTCATTTAAACCACGCACCATGGCGAATGGCTGTATGCACAGATTTTCTTTAATTATTTTAACCATTCATTGTGGAAATCATTTGGGAATCAATTGATCCATTTTAGATTTTGCATTAATGGCACTGACCAGCGTATTTTTGTGCTGAGAGTTTTATATTGTCCTCTCAAGGAAGGAAGTCATTTATTTTCAATACTCTTTCATCAAGCGACCTATCTCTTCAGCCAACAACACAAAAAAAATTGTCTAACCTCAATCTCTTTCAGATGTTCTTTGAAGACACAATCGATGATTCAAAGTTCTCAGGTCACTTGTACGGTCTAGGAACTTCGTTCGCCGTGAACGGAACTTCAAATAACTACGCGACCGACAACGGAGACACGACAAATTCCTCGTGAAATTAAGCGAGGAAAAAACAAACAAAAAGTCGTTTAGTGTGTACACCCAACTTTTTTTGTACAAATATTTTCCATGGACAATGATTCAGTCAGTTTTTCCATGTATATAAAAAATATATAAAGAACCCCAAGCCTTTTTATTTTGTAGCTTAGATATTAAGTACCTTTATATTAATTTTTCAAATACATGGGGTGGTTAATTATTTGTTTATTTTGTAATAAAAAACATTGAATTGAGGCTGTTTAGAAATATCAACTTTCTATTGGTTGAAATGTGCTTTTGTCAAGTCATCTTGTATTTACAATTACTTGAAAATAATTAACTACTCCAATATTTCTGTAACAGTCTGTCTGAGATAATAGAATTTTTATTTAACTTTTTACATTTTCTATTTTTGTGTATTATTAAAAAAATAAATTAATTTAAAAGAAGGCATTTTGATTTACCTACTAACCTTTAACACTTTTAACAACCACAAAACAACAAAATTTAATTACAATTAAGGTGAAAATTTAAAAATTACCTAATTCAAGAATGATGAAAACTATTTGAAATAAACACAATGGTGTTTGTTAATACTTATAAAAACGCATTTTTAGTTTTTGCACAAAGTATATATGAAATATCTTGTTTTATAAAAAGACAGATGGTACCCCTGCACATATTGGAATTGAATTGTTTAAAACAAGTCACGATCACTTGTCATTTTAATATTGTGCTTTTTCTATGCTTTTAAGCCATACATAATTAAAAAAAAGCTTAACCAAAAGTGTCCTACAGTCTTTTAGAAGAGTTTTCCTGTAATAATGTGAGTATTTTAATGATTTTTAAAGGGTTATTTGCACAAAATAAACAAAATAGCGTACTTATTTAGTTTATTGGCTTACAATACAATTTACGGGCTCTAAAACTAAAGATAGCATAAAATTATCTCTATCCTCTTTATACCTGGCCTTCAACAAATAACACCTCGCCATATCGTGCACATCAAAATTATAATTCATAGCACCAATCTGGCATCTTTCTAAAAACTCCGTAACTTCTTCCAAACATTTCAATCGGTTGTCCTCAATTAGCGAAATCGGTTTGTAGTAGTCGTCCAGACATCTAAAGGCGTATTTGTTTTTGGGTGGCTCAAAGGACTTTTGTTTTTTTATTGAGAGGCTCTTTTTCTTGGACTTTTTGTGCGGTTTTGGGGGATGCATGTTGAATAGTTTGAAGGAGTTTATCAGCTTTGTTACAATGTTGCCCTCGTGTTTGCTTCTTATGGAATCCAAGGATTTGGATCTCGATGATTCAGCTAAATAATCAAAGATAAGCAAGTAGTCTTATTGCGCTGCCTGGTGGAGAAATAAAGTACTAAATGTCCTACAACTTACTTTTGCTGTTTGTTTGCATGGACGACGTCGTCAAACTTTTGGATCTTTTTCTAAACATGCTTATTTCATAGTTTGGAATCCTGTCCAACAATTTTTCTATGATGTGACCAATGTAAGGCAAAAATGGAGTTTTTTGGGAGAATATCAGGAATATTTTTTGATAACCCAATAGCCTTGGATCCCTATATAGTTTGGATAAATACTGAAACAAACTAAAAAATACAAATTAAACGAAATATCATATTCAAGGTATTATCTCCACAGTATCCGATGCGTCACAAAATCAAAATAAATATTGATATACAGGGTGTTTTAGATTCGTGGTCCATTAAAAGTTTCTGGGGAACCAAAAAAGTTAACTTTTTAATTATCGATTTGAAATTTTATTAGCGTTTATAATAATCATGATTTAAGTCTATTTTTCTAAAATATTTTAAATATAATGCCACTTCCGGTTTAACCGGAAGTCGACATATTTTTTCGTTCCCCAGTAACTTCTAATGGACCACGAATGTAAAACACCCTGAATATTCCATGCAAACTCTTCAAATGGAGATACTACCTAAATTGCGAAAATTTACTGGTATCTTGTGGCGTGTTTTTTCCTCAAATAAGCCCAAGTATCTCGAAGTCTATAAATTGCAGGGCTCTGAAGTCCACATAAAATCGTTTTGCAGGATTGAAAATTCGACATTTTATGGCATTTATCGGCTACGTTGATAAATCTTGATATTAGTCTTGCTCTTATCTAAAAATTTAATCATTTTGTAATTTATATATTTTACTAACTTTCGTTATACTTTTTCCATATTATCCTTAAGTATTTCGTGTGCTATCAGACAACTTATTCTGTGTGAAAAAGCCAATAAGGCAGATACATTAGGAGCAAATTTTGTGTTTTGTTTCCAAATTATTATACCTAACTCGTCTGGGGTGATTTTTAGGAACAAATCTCTATCTAAAAAATATAAAAATACAATTATCCCAGCAGACACATAAGTCTGATTTAATATATATAATGGTCCATTACATAGTTTCATGGCTTAATAATGGAATTTTTAGCCAAAGCTTTCCTTACAGAAATGTTTTAATAAAAATATTAATTTTGATAAAAGGCTGTCGTGATAAGGTCTTGCAATGACCCTTTTCAGGCTAATATTTGTATATTTTACCCCAAAAGACCCATATAATATATGCCCATTAAAGGTGAACGCGACATAATATGTACAGTTCCATTAGAGTTAGCCTTTATAGGGCCTTTAATTCATTAAAGGCGCGTTTATAGAGGGCCATTATAGGACCTTTACGGTTGTGTTTGCTGGGGTAATTCAAAAAAGATATCGATATATGAAATATCTTACCTATCATAGTAAGCTGTTCTGCCAACGTGGTGGAATCAAAGTCCCAAATATTTACTGCAATATCAATTTTCAGCAATCTTTTCACGTATTGCAAGGAATTTTCCGTAGTGAGTCTGTAGGGTTCTGTAATGGAACGAGGCCAGCAACAGAGTGCTACTTATTATTTTAGTGTTTTACAACAGTGAATTTCAAAAGTTTTACCACAATTCGAGTCTCCTCCGCCCGACAAATGGGCTTTCCGTTTTTTGCTCCTGCATTTTTTCGAGGTCTTCGAAGTGTTTCCCACCGAATCATCATCATCGTCATCGCTATCCTTCGCGTGGTTTCCTTTTGAATAAAACTTTCTAAATATGCGTTTCTTTTTAGGTGGTTCTATCGTACATTTCCCTATTAGTTTTATGGACGAAACCGAATAAAATACTCACTAGTTTTACATGTTCCTTCGATGTACTCCGACAGCAGTTTCAGGTGTTTTCGCATGTCCAAGTAGGCCTCGCGCATCTTCCAAGGCCTGTACCAATAGTCCGGCGTCCAGAAATATATTATGGGCTTCGTTGGGGAACTCCTACAACAAAAATATAGTGTTTTTTAACTCCAAAATGATCACTTACATTCTGGAATTTTCGATTCTCTCTTGGTACAGTTGTGTGCAAGATATCGACGTCACCAAGTGTCTTTTCGATATGGGAAGTCTTAATCTCGGGTCTATCAAGGGTTGCCTTATTTGGACTTCGCTGGATGCTCTTTTCAACTGCAGGGAGCAGTATGAACCTGGATTTACTGTCCAAGGGCCAAGTCCATGTAAAAACAGGGGCTGCGGACTAAATCCATATCTTCTTTTGTGTCTAGATCTAAAATATATATCCTGTGAATCCGTAAAATTCGATGAAGTGTCAGGTTTAAAAGAAACTAGACCAAACCGAAGGTTTTTGACCCAAACTCAGAATTGCTCCATTGCATACATTTACGAAAAATTCGAAGTAGAAAAACGCAGTATTTTTAACATTTGGGGTTATATTTCACAGCGCCAAAAACTTTTTCTGGGCTTAGTAAAATTACTTGTAAAATAACTCGTATTTAATATTGCTCAAAAGGTTAATCATCATTTAAAACTTTTCTCAAGAGGATTAAGGAGGTTCCCAATTCATTATTAATTTTTTGAGAAGCATTAAAAATGAGTTATTTTGCAATTAATTTTGTTTACCCCAGAAAAAGTTGTTGGCGCTTGGTTCCCTTTTAATAAACGCTATCCATTTTATCTTCATAAACCTCATCTAAAGGAGTACTCTTCCCCTTCCAAAACCTTTTTTGAACTTTGTCAATATCCTTTTCACTCTTCAAGGGTTAGTTAAATATATGCCTCGTATAAGGTTATTTAAGTATTCTTAAGAAATATTATTCCACTCCTCAACAGCGGCTACAATAAGCTCTTGAACATTCATTGGAGGGTTCAAACATTTACGAATCAATCTGGATAAATATTTCCAGACGTTTTCAATGGTATTTATGTCCGGAGAAAGATTCTGTCAATTTCACCCTTTCGCAGAAACTCTAGGATAGCTCTAGTTCGATGTGGACGGGTATTGTCATCCATAAAGATGAAATTGGGACCTACTTCATCTCGAGTTGGTTAAATAATAGGCCGAATGTTTAAATCCAATCCGTAATTTTCCACAGATATGTCTCATTATGCCTTTGAATGGTCCGAGTAATCTATCAGCTATTCGTCGATGTGACAAAAATTCTTCAAAGAGAAACGAATTTAATTGCAAACCGTATTTACTTCTTCGGTTTTTACGGCGATTTTTTTTAGTTAAATAACAAAAAAATCACAATTCAATATTTACACTACTGGAATTCAATAAATATTAATATTTTTATATTATACTTGATGGTGCAAGACTTTTGAAACTGAGTGTTTCGGTAAAAATTCGATTCATCACCTTTGAGTTAGAATTTCTTAAATTCTAAATCAGCGCATCAAAAACCTTCGGAAAGGCCAAGTCTGAGTTAAATTGTTCAAAAAATTGTTTAAAAAATCGTAATTACTTTTTTCTGTATTTGTCATTTTTATTTTTTTCCCACAACTCCACAGGGGCGTTCAGATTTGTATAATCCAGCAGGTTCATATCACAAATCGAGCTAAAAATGTTTTTAATATTTTTTGTTAAAACAAATTATATTTTTACCTTATTTGTAGCAAAGTATCTGAATCTTTTGATCTTCTACCTGTTTTAACTCTATATCATATTAATAAAGTTTGTTTGGGTTAGATTGCGTGGTGTCTAGAAACGTTTCAGTCGAACAAAAACTTTTTGTTTCAACTTCCATTTTGGTGCTCGTAGAGTGTGGTAGCTCTATGAAAGAGTACTGAAATATAAGTGACTTCTAGACCTGGGAGGGCTTTTGGCCACCAAGGAAGAAGAAGAAGGTTTTTGTTTGACAGAAGAGTTTCTAGACACCTTCTTTAACATCCTTACTTATGATCTTTCCTGGTGTAAACTACATCATCAAACGTGGTTGGGTGCATCTGGGGTCTATAATCCAACGCATAGTCCTGAAACTGATCCCCCATGTACAAATACTTATCAGTCCACTTACTTACGAACATCTACAAAACAAAAACCAATAAATTCACCTAAGGAAAAGACTAAAATTCAGTTGATGACTTATGTGTTTTGTCTTCAAATCCTTCTAAAATTACCGATGACTTTTGTCGATTATTACCGTAGACGGCGTCCAGTAGGCTGTGGTCTATGCCGGGGGAATCACCTGACCCGAACTTGCACCACAACTGCTTCGTGCCTTTCATCGACACCAGTTTTTTCTCCACCACGTATAATGTGCTTCCTGTGGTGCTGGTGGCCACCGATGTCTCCGATTTAGAGGAGTTTGAGTTGTTCGGCGAGAGGAATTTTATTTTTTCGCACCACAAGTTCCAAAACATCTAAAAGTGTATTTTTGTAATAGAAGATTTAAACATATATTAGAAATATTCCCCAACGCCAAAATAAAACAAAAAGTGCTTAAAGCACTTTGTGTTTTGTTTTGGTGTTTGGGAATATTTCGTATATTTGTTTAACATATCACCAAAGTTGTCCCTTTTCAAGAATAAAGGATTTGTATGGTTTGAGAAAAAACTGTTACCCTTCTCCTTTGAAATCCTCCCAACTCGAAATATAGCACTTTGTTGTTGCAAAATCGCGCTTTTAAAGCTTGCCGGCGCTTTCTTCTATAAACGCTCAAATTCACGCAGGTCACCGGATAAATGGCTATCAATTCGAACGTTTCTATTTCCGGGTCGATTCCAGGCACGTAGGAAACGAAATTTTCGTCCACCGGAGGCAATATGTCGGTCGCTAATACTAATTTTGACGTGGTTAATCCTTAAACATTAATAATTCTTAATAGTTCTTGTAAATGTTTCGATATTTCATCAATGTGTTTTGAAATCTCTTTAAATATCAAACTGACTTATGAAATTGTTTGACTATACACAGGGCTAGCCAAAAATTAACTTTTTTTATTTAGATATTAAATTTTAGTTCCTAGATAAAAGATTAATCTTTCGCATACATCACGTTATATTAACTTCTAATTTAAACCTTTAAAAATGGTTAGGAATGGTTATTTTTTTAAATATATTTTGGTTTAGTTTAAGTTTTGAAATAAAACAGAAATTGGTTTTTACTGGTATTTTCCATGATGGAAAAGTGCAATTAGGATTCTAATGTTTTTATTGGTTTCAATTGGATAAAGCTACCCATGGGTAATTTCCAATTAAATTCAATCGAGCATTTCCAGTGTAATGCCGGTTTTCCACCAAACGGACAGTTGAGTTTGGGTTTTGTTTGTGTTTTTAAAAACTTGCAAATCAAAAACAAAACTGAAACAAACCCGAAACTCTTGTTTCCATCAAACAAACTAAGTTTTGTTCGAGTTTTGTTTTTGTTTTCGGTCCTTTTCCACTAGTTGTCGTGATTATGTCAGAACACACTTTTTCAGTATCAACCCAGTGCCGGTTTAAGTTAGTTCGCCGCCCGGTTCTGGCAAAAACGCAACGCCCAATGCTTTAAAATATTACTTTTTTAAAAACATTTTTAAAATTTTAAGTCTTACTTTCTCTCGTCAAGTGGAAAATTAGGTTGGTTAGGCTGGTATCTAACAGTAAACTTAGTATCCTATAAAATATAAAATGAGCCTTTATAAACAAATTATAAAAACTAATCAAAAGCACTAACTAAAAAATAAAACATCCTTTGGTTTATATAAACAATACTAAGTACTAAGAAAAACTAATCAAAAGTTATAAATAAATAAAACATTATTCTTTGGTTTAAATAAATATTGAGAAATCCTAATACCTACTAATAATTAAAAGGTTGTTTTCAAGTCTTTATAGTAGCCAATTGTTTTATAACACTTTAAATTTATTTCATCTAGCAGGTCTTGATAAATGGACAGAATTGCTAAGGAGTTCAATCTTTCTTGGGGAATTGTAGTTCTTTACCCTTTTTAGAGCAGAAAAAGATCGTTCACCACTTGCATTTGAAACCATTATAAAAAAATTCGCAGACAATTATTAATATTCGGAAATGAAGATATTAATTTACTTTCGTATAAAACTTATACTAATTCCAATGGAGTTTCTATTTTTATTTCCGAAAGGGAAGTTACCAGTTTCTCGAGTTGGACACATTTTTGAGGAAAAAACTCATCCAAATCCTCCACGAAGATTTATGCTTTTAGATTAAACAAAAATTCAAATTTGTTTGTGCCAGATTTCTAGCTATCATATCGGCAAATGATTTCGGATTATAGATTGTCAATTATTAAAATAAAACATATTGTTCGCATTGTTTCTTTTTTGCTTAAACTTGCCTCTGAATTATTTTCTTCAAATTGTAATTTTCTTATAATTATCCGCTTCTGAGCATAATTTTCGTTTCCTGTTAATTTCCTCGTAATGATCAAAATGATATCACGTAAAAAATCAAAGTTCTTAACTAAAAATGACAAAAGATGAGCATTTGTGCTTAAATCCATATTTTGTTTTTGGACTTTATTGGTTTCATTAACCCTTTGCAAAACGTCTATCCAAAAAGTTCAAATTATTCCGTTTCCAATAAATCAAGTTTTTCTGATAGAGAAGCTGCTTTAACTCTAACAACATTTTTCTCATTTGTATCACTTGTATCCGCCGACGCAGTGTCGCAATAATTTTTTTTTAAATTCGCAGACAATTATTAATATTCGGAAATGAAGATATTAATTTACTTTCGTATAAAACTTATACTAATTCCAATGGAGTTTCTATTTTTATTTCCGAAAGGGAAGTTACCAGTTTCTTGAGTTGGACACATTTTTTAGGAAAAAACTCATCCAAATCCTCCACGAAGATTTATGCTTTTAGATTAAACAAAAATTCAAATTTGTTTGTGCCAGATTTCTAGCTATCATATCGACAAATGATTTCGGATTATAGATTGTCAATTATTAAAATAAAACATATTGTTCGCATTGTTTCTTTTTTGCTTAAACTTTCCTCTGAATTATTTTCTTCAAATTGTAATTTTCTTATGATTATCCGCTTCTGAGCATAATTTCGTTTCCTGTTAATTTCCTCGTAATGATCAAAATGATATCACGTAAAAAATCAAAGTTCTCAACTAAAAATGACAAAAGATGAGCATTTGTGCTTAAATCCATATTTTGTTTTTGGACTTTATTGGTTTCATTAACCCTTTGCAAAACGTCTATCCAAAAAGTTCAAATTATTCCGTTTCCAATAAATCAAGTTTTTCTGATAGAGAAGCTGCTTTAACTCTAACAACATTTTTCTCATTTGTATCCCTTGTATCCGCCGACGCAGTGTCGCAATAATTTTTTTTTAAATTCTAACGATTAAGTATTTTTTTTTTAAATTATGGGCGTTACGCGGTACCGCCCCAAAAATATTTACCGCCCGGTGCTATAGTCCCCAAAAAACCCCTGTTAAACCGGCACTGTATCAACCAACATGTTTAGAGAAAAAGATTTTCTTATTCTTAGTTGTGGCTGGTATATACTTCTTCGTGAATAACTTTTGAAGAATTAAATTAATTAAAACATCAAATTATGACTAAAAATCAAAAATAGCGATGATAGACCTCTAAAATAAAATTAAATAAAATTAATATTAATATTAAGGGCTCAAATTTTCACCAAATTTTTTTTTGTCATTCTGAATGACATTCTCGATATATTTTTCAAAAAAAAAATAGTCAATGTTTTTGGCCCATATATATATACATATATATGTGTATCTATTAAACTTATCCATGACATTTTACTGCCGAGGCAGTAGGTTGTGTGCGAGGTAATTAATAAGCTTTCACCGCCGTGTTTTATATACTATTTTTTTCAAGCTCTAAATTTCGATATTTTTTTGAAATTTTGTAACCTCATTTTTAGGTTAGGTTTAACAGTCAGACGACAAAATGTCACCATTATTGTTCGGCGGTCAATAATAATTTGACTTTTGAACTAGTACAATAATGTAGTGACTACTAGTTCAAAAGTTAAATTATTATTGACCGCCGAACAATAATGGTGACATTTTGTCATCTGACAGTTAAACCTAACCTAAAAATGAGGTTACAAAATTTTAAAAAACTACATTGTAGTATTTCTATATAGACTTATGAGGAATATAATATGAATATTATTATACACTTGGAAAAAATATGTTTCTTACTTACCTACCAATTTAGTATGAAATTCGTATCTATTCATAACTAAATTGTAGTATTTCTATATAGACTTATGAGGAATATAATATGAATATTATTATACACTTGGAAAAAATATGTTTCTTACTTACCTACCAATTTAGTATGAAATTCGTATCTATTCGTAACTAAATTGTAGTATTTCTATATAGACTTATGAGGAATATAATATGAATATTATTATACACTTGGAAAAAATATGTTTCTTACTTACCTACCAATTTAGTATGAAATTCGTATCTATTCGTAACTAAATTGTAGTATTTCTATATAGACTTATGAGGAATATAATATGAATATTATTATACACTTGGAACAAATATGTTTCTTACTTACCTACCAATTTAGTATGAAATTCGTATCCAGACTAACAAAATAAAATAAAAGTCGAAAACAAAAAACACAACACGACTGTTTCCACTAAACAGACTCGAGTTTCAAAACACGTCGAAACCTTTTGATGTTACCGCTTTCGAGCGGAACTCGAAAAACAAAACTCAAACTGTCGCAAAACACGCCAGTCTTCAAAAAGTTTGCAAAAAGTTGCAGTTTTGTTTTATTCGACACGAGTTTGTGTTTTGTCCGTTTGGTGGAAAACCGGCATAAGATTCGAAAAAGAAATCTGCTAATTGGTTATTCCCAATACTTTAAAACATGGAAAAATCAAACTAGGATTCTACTGACTTTTAGCGGTTTTGATTGGATAAAGCTACCTATAGGTAATTTCCAATGGAATTCAATTGGGCATTCCCAGTGTAAGATTCGAAAAATCTGCTAATTGGTTATTCCCAATACAATACAAATACCGCAAGAGGGCTCTCGTGTAGTTGCGCAAAACCAACGAGGTTGAGACGCCATCATAAAGAAAAAACAACTTAAACAAGTCTTTGGACGCCATTTATTAGCGTTTTTTTTTATTAGTCGATTTCTGTGTTAAGTGCTACCTATTTGATCGGTCAATTGACCGGTCAAAATATATTTAATTATTGCAGCATTTTATTTAGGTATCAACAATTACCCGTGAATCTCAAAATTTTTGCGATCGTGCAATCATTTACAATTTGGTGGTTCCCCGAGTCGAGGGGTTGCTAGGCCGGACTCGGCGCTTTGCCCTTAAAGCAGGACATATCTTTTTTAATAACGAAACATAACTTTTTAAAGCCGCACAAACGTTTCTGAAGATGGACATAACTTTTTTAATAAAAAAAAAAATGGTAACGTATTTTAATTACCTATTTATTAAGCACAAATAAATCACAGTATTATTTATTTTGATATTCTATTTAATTTTATTTTGGTCAATTGACCAAAAACAATTTGACCGGTCAATTCCACAACCCTACCTATGTGTAAGGTTTAGGGACGATGGCGTGAGAATGGTGGTTACAGCGGACAAAAAAAATATTTGACATAATAATATTGATTTTGACCATGCCTACAAACATTCTTTGCAAAAAAATCAAAAAAATGATTATAACCGAGTAATTTTATTTATTTTTTATTACTTTTTTTGTGTTAGTAAGTTATATGTATCAATACATACCTAATAAGGAAATAAAATTACATAGTAACAATAAATTTTTTGTCTCTTCTGTGAAAAATTAATTCTGGTTTTTACCCGGTTATCCTTCTAAGATCTAAAATTATTTTTAAATGAAAAATAAACTGGTAGGTATTTTCTAATCCAAATTTAAAAAAATTAATTGGTTTTAATTGGTTGGAATGGGTTTGGCGCTATGAATTACCAATTCATTCCATGTGTATTTCTATTGGATTTAGCCAATAGAGACAAGCATAGGCATGGATTGGTATTTTCCAATCCAAGCCGCTGACTTTATTGGAACTTACCAATAGGAATGCAACTGGAATGGATTGGTGATTCATAGCGCCAAAACACATTTCAAACCAATCCAAACCAATTAGGTACTTATTTTTTATTGGATTCTATTGGTCATTTACAATAGGGAACATACCCAAAGATAATTATCTTTGAACATACCTACGATAACCACAAATTAACCTTAAAATTACATTAGTCAGTTTGATGACAGCTCTGATAATAATAATAATAAAATAATAATAATAATAGAATAATAATTATTATAATTATAATAATAATTATTTTTTTGTCCTCTGTAAGAAATGCAACGTTTAAAACGATTATTAATCGGTATAAACAGCACAAACACGAAGCACAAGAATTGTAAACATAAAAATGGCCGCCGTTAGAGTCTGTGCAGTTGGTTGCCTAACTTCGTGATTTTTAGCATGCATGTGTGGATTGTGGTTATGTTGATAGAAGGAGTGTAGAAGAGGGAGTATTTTTTACATACAACATTTGGCTACCCAGTCCATATGAAATTCGAAAAAAACTATCACCTAAACAAAAATACATCACATGTACGATAATTGTGGACCGAATTTGTAAGATACAATATAAAAACTTGTATTTAAATACAAATAAAACTTGTATTTAAATTAAATTAGGAATGAATAACATACCTAAATGGACTTGTCTGATGCCAGTTCCGTCTTTCGTGGTCTGTGCAAACGGACTTTCCAGCAAGACCATGTCGTCGAAGTCGCAGAACTCGGAAAATAATAATTTTTGTACGCGGCAATCTGACATGATAATTTTCGCTTCAAAAAAACTAAAAACATCATAAAATAAAAGGAAAAATGTTAGGTTCGAGCGTCGGGACTGATTTTTATAAGAATAACTGTCATGTTATACAAACATGACTTTGAAAGATGTGACAGAAGTTGTTTAGTTATTTTTATATTTGTGAACCTAGAACCTACTTTATTAAATATTCACCTGATGATATTCAAATATTTGCATTTGTTTACTTTGTTGGAGTTTCTAAATATTTTTGTTAATTTTTTCATGATTATTTATAAGGCATTGACAACAACCTAGTTAATAAAATCGATACCCAATATGTAAATATTTTATTTATTCCTAGCAAGTGGAATACTTTCACTGCAAATTCTTCTAGTGATAAAAATTAAATAAAACGATTTATAAATATTATTAAAAAATATATTCAACAATCAACAAAATTATACCGTTTAGTTTATTAAATAAATATTCTTAAATTATCTAGCAGTCTATAAACATTGTATTAGTGGACTTAACTTACATCAAAGATTCGCATCTTCTGGTAAAAATTCTTACATATTTGGCGTTATAGTGAGAACTAAAATTAAACTTAAAAATAATCAACAGAAATTCTTCTCTGGAATTGCGGCTGTTTGAAGTGGTGAGGCCTCATGAGATATTTGTATGGGTTTTGCCGGGGTTGCCTATGGTTATTCAACAAATCTTTGCTTATGGTTTTGTAGCCCGAAAATTTGTAGGATTTAAGTGGCTGCGGTTTGCCGTAGATTTTGTATTGGAATTTATTGTGGTTGTAGGAGTTATTCTCGACGGTTTCTTGGTTGTGTTGGAAGTAGGGGTCCCTAAAATCGTCTTCTTTCTTCTGGTGGAGATATTGGTGTGGTTGCGGTGATACATACTGTTGTTGGTAGGCATAGGAGTCTTCTCCTGAATGGTAGGGATCAAATTTGTTCAGGTTGAATTGGTTTTTCATTGCGTCTTCTAATGGTCTTACGTTGAAATGTATGGGGATCATTTTGTTGTCATTTGGAACACTTTGCATGTTTGTTGTTAGATATGGATCTCTCAGTAGACTTGTGTCGACTGGCAAATTATAGCTTCCAGTGTTTACTTGTGGCATACTTGTTGGTATTTGGTTGATGTGATTTAATTTGGTGTGTATATGCTGAGAAATTGGTGGTAAAAATTGCGTTTTGCTTTGATAGGGGTTGTACGTTGGCACCAGACTGCTTGCTTGTTGTTGTTGGTGTTGGTCGTTCACCCCATTGGTAAAGTCGAATGTTTGGCTTCTTCCCAAGGCGCTGGCATGGTTAAAAATCGGTTGGTGATTCAATGGGATCTCGCTGCTTCTGATTATTTCAGCGGAAGGCCCCAAGTTCCTCCACGAATAATTCTGTTGGTATTTTCTGGCCTCCTCCGTAGCACTGATGGTTGGTTTACCCACCTCCAAATTCTTCAAGTATTGCTGAGTTGTGGGGGATAAATACAGGTCCTCTGGCTTCGCTTCTAAAGCCTCAAAAGTTGGCTTACTTCCACTGTCATCTGTCAAACTGTTTGCAGATTGTGGTATCGCCACTTGCTCGTTGGCTTTCCTCGTCCCCGTAATGATTTCCCCCTCGTCCAAATTCGGCCTGCTCGGGCTTGCAACTTGTCTAGCTACAGGGTTCTTGAACCTTACGCTGTAACCAACGTTAAAGAGTTGCGTGTTGGTGTTTTTAGCGTTGGCACTAGCAAAGGTTGGCGCTTTTTTGAACGATGTCGTGTACCTGGGAATTTTTTCGTTTGTTGTCGGATTAAAGCTCACACTTACAGAGCTCTGCGAGTGCTGGTCTGGATGGACAACATTGGTGGTGTAGCTCATGGTTTGTCTCTGGAAAATGTTGTCCATCATGCTTTGGCACGATGCCAGGGCTATACAGAGTGTTAAGGGAACCTAAAAATAAAAAAATATAGTGTTAATTTTACAAAAGTTCTTTCAAGCGGTTTTATTAATTGATTCTTCCTTAATGGTTCAAGAACATGCATAACAGTAATCAGAGCGTTGTGTAATTAATTAAACTAATAGAAAATTGTAGCATCAAACGATGCTCTCTTATTATTTACACTTTTTAACTTTAATAGTTTATTAATTAATAATTTTATAATGGTACAACACTTCGGATTTTTATTTTTTAATTCAATCATACAATAGAATACAATATTTAGTATGCATGCCTATGAAGAACTTTCTTAAGAGTATACTAACATTTTAACACACTTAAATATAAAATTATAAAAAATGCCAAGGCAGTGATTCATGCGCTCTGCATTATTGTTCCATTTTTCTATGATTTATAATAAAAGCGTATTAGTAAAAACTGTTATAAAGTTCAACAATAAAATTAATTATGGGAATTCATTTTATAATAGTGCCTGACCGATTTTACTTATTTCCAGCTATTGTTTAAATAGATTATAAAAATATGATTTTCTAGTTTACCCTAAATACCTCATAATGGTTTTACAAAATTAAATAAATATACAATTTAAAAAATAATTAAAATTATAAAAAAGTTCGATGATGTTGGTTTAAGAGGCGGTTATTTTAAGTATAAAAACATTAAAACTTTTTTTATCGAGTTATAAAACTTTAAAATTATTATTTTTTAACATATAGAGGTTGTTATGGGAATATTAAAATATTGTTCTTTAAAAATGTCTCATAGGTAATATTGATATATCTACAGTACACAAATTTACTATATCTATACAAATATATAGTGTTGACCATAATTTTTGGAACCACTGTAAAAAAACTCTAAAACTCCTTTATTATTCTTTACGAAATTTTGTATAAAAATACTTCAACTTATATCTCAGTTTACGTTTTCGAGGGTTTTTAGAGAAAATATTTTTAAAGTCCTTTTATTTAATAATGAAAAAACGTTCGAAAAATAACTTTTAGGGTAATTTTTTTAAGTAAATAAAACATATGCTGTTAAAGACCGTATTTTTATTAGTAGGTATACCCTAAAAATTTTGTACAAATTAAACTAATAGTAACGAAGATACAGCGCTTCAAAGTCGTTAAAAAATGAATATTTTGCTGAAAAGTGGTCATTTTTGACGACTTTGAATCGCTGTATCTTCGTTGCTGTTAATTTGATTTGTATAAAATATATAAAATATATATATAAAATTTTCAGGGTATACTAACAAAAATACGGTCTTTAACAGCATATTTTTAATTTACTTAAAAACAAATTACCCTAAAAGTTATTTTTCGAACGTTTTTTCATTATTAATTAAAAGGGCTTTAAAATTATTTTCTCAAAAACCCTCGAACACGTAAACTGAGATATGTAACAAAATGTATAATTATAGAACGCTTGAACATAAAATTAGTTTATCTAAAGTTAAGAAAATGTTTACACTAAATAACGAATTCATGAAATTAAAAAAATTACGTGGAATAAAAAATATGAAAAATTCATTGAAAGTTATTAGGGTTTCAAAATTTTCGGTAAAATTGAGCCGGTGGAAAAATACCGTTTTTTTGGAAATAACGGAAAAATTGGGAAATTTTCAGAAAAATTCTAAAGAATTTTTTTTGTAAAATTACAGTTACAAATATTTACGTATAGGTAATATCCGTACACTGATATCGAAAAGTGAATTTCCGATGTTGATTATAATCATAATATTATGATTATAATAATTATTCCTTTTATTTTAATTCAGAAGGATAATAATACCGAGTTGCAAAAAAAATATTCCGTGCTATATTAAACTTAAAATTTTAAACTTAATAAATCATTCATTATTTTATGTTATTTATTTTGCAAAAAGGACCCAACCGACAGTATATTTAAAGTTTATTTTCTTAAACCAATTAAAGTCAATTGAATGTTTAGTTTTATTTGTTTTTGTTTCTGTAATAAAGGATTTTTCGTTAATTAAAATAATGTTAAAAATATTCAATTTTTCCCAAAAAAGACAATTTTTATAAGGGCAATTTTTCCGTTTTTTTCGACACTTTAAAAGTTAAACTTATTTTTTTATTAAACGAATTAATTGTAAAATAGAAGTCACTCCGCAAATTATATTTTACAAAATAATATAATTTAACATTGGGAAAGTGCGTTACTACTTTTGGGACATATGTACATATTAGTCATAAATTTAATAGGTAATAAAAGTATAAAAATAAACTTATAAACTAAAAAATGTGTGAAATTAAATAGAAACCATATCCTAAAAGTATAAAAAACACATAAACTTATACGGTGCCATAAACCATTAATTTTGGAAATTTAAAAAATGTTGTCAATTTTGAATGTTTAAAAAATGTTGAAATGTCTGAAAATTTTTGAAATCTTGATAATTCTATAAAATTGTTATGGAAACAATTTAAGTAATAATACCTAAAATAACCACTTTTATCACGTAGTTTGAAAATAGTAAATTTAATAGTCCAAAAATATTTATTTAATTGTCATATACAGAAAGCATAGTTAAGATTTGTTGGCCCAACTGTTAATACCAAATATTTTGACATATATGGCACATTTTTGTAAATATAACAAAACGATAAAATTTGAAGAAAACTTGTATTTTTATAAACAAATTATTGAGCGAACAAATCCTAACCATCCTTTGTGCAACCTTTTTAAGTAAATCACTAAAACCACATTAAAACTACTTAAAAGCACTCACTAGAATCCTCATTTTGCAGATAATATTTCCAAAAAAAAAAATTTACACTGTCACTGACATTTATACACACGACAATTTTCCAAGCACGATACTGGCAAACTGGACGTTAAACGTATTCGGATGTTCAGCGATTTGAGACAACAGACAACAACAGGTGTTCGCTGGTTCTTCAGCAGGCAAAGAAATGCGAACGATTTACGTGCCGCATGCAGGTTTAATATGTATTTCCCCCGTCAGATTATGTGTTGGGAAAATTACCATATCGTTAAATGAATGAAGGGATAACTTTGGACTTTCCCGTGTCGGTAATGCTGGCAGTAAAAACGGAAATTATGATTATTTTCTTTATTAACCGTTGTGATTTTCTGCTAATTGAGAAAAATTACAATTTATTTTATTGGGTTTATAACACTTAACGTGCTCATTTTAATGGGTTTCTTTGTGAAATGTTAATGGTATAATAGTATATTAGGTATCAAGTTTGATAAACGCCATTTTAGTTACGAATTTAACGTAGGCAGTGTTTAAATAATTGATTATCTAAAAAATGTTTTAAATTAAATTTTATCTTTAAGAATGACCGTCATTATTTTAATTAAACTTAACAATTCTTTATAATTTAAAGTAGGTATTAAAATAACTTCAAAATATGATTATGTTAAGAAAATATTTTATCCTGATTTTTTTATTCTATAATTGCAAAATATTATCACAAAGTATTAAACATTCTTACACGGGAAATGTTAAAGGTACAAAAAGTGACAGTTGTTGAATTCCTGTTAGAACTTGGGAATCTACCGGCGTTAAAATATCAAATTTTTATGTGTAAATCAAAATTTATTCCTTAAAAATAGACTAACAATCGATTAAGAAGTAAAAGAAAAGATAATGTTTTATAGGCACTGTACACAATTTTTTTAACGCTAAATCTAGTTAACTGCACTACTACCGTAGTAGTACTACGGCGAAATCAAAAGGTCACTACAAACGTTCATATATTTTTTTCAAATATTGGCGTCAAGCTTGTTTTAATAGGAATTCATACTTATAGGTAATATATTTGTTCTACTCCCACCTTTAAAACGCCCTTTATCGTACATGTTTCCAATGGAAACTTTCCATGACACTAAGTGACCTTTTAAATACACATTAACAAGTTGTGGCTTTATGGCGCTTTAGTCACGGGCTGAAGTTAGCAACAGGTTTTTAGTCACGGGCTGAAGTTAGTTTTAAGTTAGTTGACAGTCAAATGTCATACAATCGTTAAAATAAAGTGCCTTTCTTGTAAAATAATACTAAATGTAAAAATTATTTTATTATCTCAATACAAAAATACAAAAGTATCAAATAGTTTCTCAACTCCAATATTTGAAAAGTTTATATGAACATTGTACTGACCTTTTAATTTCGCCGGTAGTAAACTATAGCTTAAATTCGGGCACGAACTCCACTGCAAAGTGCTCTCAAAACATTTTCTTTACTTTCACTGTGAAAAACTGTCAATTTTCAAGAAATACATTTCGATTTATAACCTTTATAATCTGTGTTTATAAAATATAAAAATTTGACATTTGACGGTGACACACTCTATTGTTTCATAGATGGCGCTCCATACAAATTTTTGATTTAAATCATTTTAGGATAATAATAAGTATTTGTCGTAGAAAAAGTATAGTATGCACCTCGTTTATAAACTTTTCTATACACTCATTAATTAAAGCTCGCTCGTGCCTAAATTAAATTCGTGTATTAAATGGCGTTTATCAAACTTGATACATAATATACTATTATCTACTCCTACATTGAAGAGCTGTGACTTTATGGCGTTTTAGTCACGGGCTGAAGTTAACATCAGTGGCTTTTGGGCATTTTAGTCACGGTCTGAAGTTAGCTTTATTATTAATTGCGAAAAAGTGAGGTTAAATTTGTCAAATGTCAAATATTTATAAATAAAACCTATTTCTGTTCGTCGCAGATAAAGTATAGTATGCAACTCGTTTTATAAACTTCTCTAGACACTTGTTTTTATTAAACACTCGCTCGCAAGGTTCGCTCGTTCTTAATAAAACTCGTATCTAAAATGGCGTTTATAAAACTTGATTTATTATACTATTATTTTATTTTGGTATTAACATTTCAAAAAACAAAAACTTCACTTCATGTAAAATGACCTCTGTTTTCTTGACAATACTAGACGATTATGTTCAATGATCGAAGTGTAGCGTAAAAAGTAAATAAGGAAACAAAAATATAATATTATGTTATATTATGTCAACTTTCTTTAACACAAAAAAATCAGTTTATCCTTATTTTGCATAGATCCAATATTATATTGTTATGCATACCTATTTCCTTATATTTTTCAATTTGCTTAAGGTACTGGGCCATAACGCGACATTATTTGCTCATTCCATCGGAAAATTATATGGTTACTTTTTCTGCAAGTAGGTGGGTTAATTTGCATTAAATGTTTATTGTATGTCGAATGCACAATGGTTACGATTTTTCATAACATCTGGCACTTTTATATTTATTAACTTACTAACTTCATTAATAATTCATTTTAAAGTGCTAAACTGCTTTTGAATTAGTACAATGGCGAATAATTTATCGAAATAGTTCTTCTACAAAACATTGATTCATAAAGACAAAAAAATACAAAAATATTATTAAAAAACAATAGGATTTTATTCTCTAATTTTTATCATACAGTGCGGACGTAAAAACCCCCTCCCCCTTTTATTTTTAGAACCAAAAGGTTAGGAATCGAAAATTTTAGTACCTTTTACTTTTTTTGACATAGGTAAACAAAAAAGTTTCAAAATTTCAAGTCTCATGTGATACATCGTTAAAAAGGTCTTTGCAAGCTGATTATATCCAACTACTTATTTTTCCAAAATTTTACAGGGTATATCCGAAATTATAACAAAAAAATCGCATTTTATGGGTACAATTTTTAACATTTAACAATTTTATTTAGAAATTTTGGTATAATTATTAGAATATTAAACCTAACCTTAGCTAACACTTTTTGACGTGTATGGATCACAAAACTAGTTTTGTGGTATGGATTAAAAAAATGCGTCGTACTACCAAAATGTCACATTTAAAAAATAGAAAATGTGGAATAAATTTTTTTTAAAGATTTTATGTTGCTAATTTCCTATAAACCCTGTATAAAATCTCAAAAATAATAAGTTTCAAAAGACCTTTAATGATCTGTCACACACAGAAAATGTAACCTTTTGACAGTTTTAGTTAGTTTAACAATCCTAAAATATCCAATTCCTAAAAATTTAAACCAATCTCAGTTTTTTGATTTGTTATATCAATTTAAAAAATAGCGACTTGAGAAAATATTGTAACCAGTTATTTTAACAATAATAATTATAAATATATTTTCACTATTATGATTTAATTAAACTTAAACTTATGATTTCTAAAAAACGCAAATAACCACTGACTCTGGCCTTTTGATTAAATCACTTTTACTTGTAAGCGTTCATGAACTTGCAAACGCACTATTAGCGATTTACCATTGCAATTCATGGCCGGTAACGATTCCTAATTAACGCACAGTGGGCAAATTTTGAAAAACTGGGATGAGATTATTTTAATTTGCAGTTGAAAGACCAGTTTTTAAAGTACATGTATTCACTAATAAAAATACATGTATTCACTAATAAAAATAAATATATTAAAAAATAAATATTATAAAAACAATACTTTAAATTTCATATTTTTTATAAGTAACCCATATTTGTTAATTTTAACCAAATATTAACCAAATTTTATGTTAATCCAGGTCCACGAAACTTTTTGTTTTCAACCAACTGTAATCTATTAACTAATTAAATAAGTAGTTTGTAATAATTACAAACTACTTATTTAATTACAGTCTGTATTTAAATCACTATTATTCTGCAAGATGTCCTGTGACGAAGAAATCACTATATTAGTTACTCTCTAAAAATGAATTAGTCAAAAATGTCATAGCGAAAAAGCAGCCACTAATAAATCTCGTCAACAGCAATTTGTATCCAGGACATTTAGCAGTCAATTCTTATGAAATATTATACGCTGAATACGAAAATGTCGTCAAAAGTTATAAAAGTAGAACAGTTTTTGAAATATAATCAATTTTACAAATAATATGGAATTGACTATATCTCAAAACTGCTTAACTTTTATAGTTTTTGACGGTCTCTTAGGATTCAGGGGACAAATTTAACATAATAATTGGCTGGTAAATGTCCGGGAAATAAATAGAGAATGATATTGGACATATGTCCAATAATATAAATTTAAATTTTTTACCAACCAGTAAATGGACACTGCGCATTTTACTGTTTGTTTTCAGAATTAAATTAAAACGCATTAAAGTGACAATGTTTAAACCATGAGGAACACATTTATACCTCACACTGATCTGTACACTTTTTAGAAATATTTTTTATTGTAATTTAAACACAGCCATGCTCTTAACAAAAAAACAAAAATCTTACCACCAAAGTAACGTGCGAACTTTTTTGTCCTATATTCAACCCAAAATAAAGTAGTTCTATATTATTACCGACTGGGATAGTTATAACTAGATGACGCTGTATACAATTATATATAATTGTATACAGCGTCATCTAATGATTTGACTTTAAGGTAACTATTTATAGAACTCTTGTTTTTACAATATTAATCTTAATTGTCCAATAACTATAAGTGTCCGATAACTGTCTACTTTACCCTAGTAGTGTTAAAAAAAAATGAATAAAAATCATTCTAATAAAAAATAACAAATCCATAAATTTAGTAACATTCTCACGGTGCGCCCGATTTAAACTCAACAGAATCGGAAATGTTTAATTGCAAGAATTCGTTCATCGAAATTCTTCGCATCGCTGCCGCGAACTGCTTGACCCGTGGGCCTGCCCAGCCAGTTCGAGAAGAAAAGAGATTTAATTTTCTCTCTTCCCTCTCTCTCTTTCTCTCGATTTTGCTTCTTCTTTCTCCCGAACCCGGGCACACATCATTGGACAGTTATTTCAACTATTAGGTTAACATCTAGGATTGCCGATAAAAATTCAAATCGAACTGAACGGACAGGTTCCGTGAAATTATCGCCAGATGATTGGTTACACAGTAAAAAAATATTTCTAATTTTAACCAA